TAAAGTAGCATGTTTTTGATCAAATTTGCATTATATTGCCCATAGCAGCACGCGCGGAATTTGAACTTTGACGCGCGCTCACGGCCTTATGAAAGGTCAAGAGTGACTGAAATTAATGTAAATTGTCATTTACGGTAAGAGGAATCTAAATCATGTAAACAAATTGAATTTGACCTTTTCCACGCGTTGTGAGCGCGCGCCCCGCGCGCGGGGACAAGTACGGACGGAAAATTTTGAAATGCTTCAAATGACCTGATTCGTACTCTCCTTTAGTAGTTAAGTGATTTTGAGCAATTTAAAATTTTGACGCGCACATACGCGCGCGCCATGACCTTTATGTGACCTTTGATGACATGACCTGTTGACCCTTGATCTGAAGTATATGTGATATGAATATGAATGAACTTTGAGTACGCATCATGAAGATATGATGGATAATGTGATTACACAAAATGGCGCCTGGATGACGTCACGATAACATGATGACCTTGAAAATGTTCCTGTCACGTGTCATGACAATGACCTATGACTGTGCTAAAATTGAATCAAATTAACACAACCGATCTTGAGTTAACCGATAAACAACAAACGGGAAGAAATAAAAATAAATAATAATAATAATAAATAAAGAAAGAAAATTCTGACGAAATCAATAGGTGGTCTGTTGACAACAGACCACCTAACTAGAAATTTAATTCGTCACGAAGACGAATAAGGTGGTCTGTCTATGTCTTATGATAGATTTGAGAATGGTAGAAGTTATATAGACATGTAAACAATGATGATCATGATGAACATGATGATGATCATGATAGTAAAGGTGATGATGATCATGATAATGATAATGTTATATGATGATAAAAACGATAATGTTACTGATGATGATGATAATGATCATGATCATGGTGATGTTGATGATCATCATCTTCAGACCATGATGATGATCATGATGGTGACATTGATGATGATGATGATGATGATAATATTGATGATGATGATGACAATGATGAATATGAGCATGATCCTGACATCTGATTGAAAAAATGAGGAAATATTTAAATAGCAAATAGTCTCAGCTACAAAATACTAAAATTTGGGAGAAAACTGTTGAATAACAACCGAGATACTGGTCAAAACACATTGTCATGCAGATTCATGTTTTGAAAAAAGTGACCTCCCATAGACATAACACGCAAATATGACAAATTATGCATTGTCGCATTTAATCGAATATTTTACTATGATGACGTCATCTAAATGAAAATAAATGCTTAATTTCTGATAGGGAAATATCTCAGCTACAACATATCGAAATCTGGGAGAAAATCGATCACTGATAAGCGAGATAATCTCAATTAAACAAAGACAAAAATGACGTCATCAACAAAATACATTTTCTTTAATTTAGATGCAAATATGAAGATTTTGTTTCACTTTGTACGAGTCAGGGTGGTATGAAATCATATCTCCAAGTCATGCTCTTTCCAACCATGATATAAAAATTGGGGGTCGATGCACTATCTGAAGAGCTATTTCGATTTATAAAGTAGCATGTTTTTGATCAAATTTACATTACATTGCCCATAGCAGCACGCGCGGAATTTGAACTTTGACGCGCGCTCACGGCCTTATGAAAGGTCAAGAGTGACTGAAATTAATGTAAATTGTCATTTACGGTAAGAGGAATCTAAATCATGTAAACAAATTGAATTTGACCTTTTCCGCGCGTTGTGAGCGCGCGCACCGCGCGCGGGGACAAGTACGGACGGAAAATTTTGAAATGCTTAAAATGACCTGATTCGTACTCTCCTTTAGTAGTTAAGTGATTTTGAGCGTTTTATAATTTTGACGCGCGCGTACGTGCGCGTCATGACCTTTATGTGACCTTTGATGACATGACTTGTTGACCCTTGACCTGAAGTATATGTGATATGAATATGAATGACCTTTGTTTATGCATCATAAAGATATGATGGATAATGTGATTTCACAAAATGGCGCCTGGATGACGTCATGATGACCTGATGACCTTGAAAAGGTTACTGTCACGTCTTATGGCAATGACCTAAGACTGTGCCAAAATTGAATGAAATTGACGGAACCGAACTTGAGTTATCTATGGCACAAAAAAGTGTAGGAAATAAAAATAAATAATAATAATAATAACTAGACATTTAATTCGTCATGGGGACGAATTAGGTGGTCTGTATCTATTTTGAAAATGTTTGCCTTTGCTCACAAAACATAAAAATTAGAACATGATCGTCTGGGAATATGGATATGGGATGATTTGATTTTGTAGTAGATGTTTAATACAAAGTTATATAACCATGAAAGTTTACATGTCATCGATAATGGAATTTCACGTAGTGGTGCATGGATGACGTCACGACGACCTTGCGACTTTGAAAACGAATTTGACCATCTCCCTATCATGATGATAATTGTAATGATTATAATGATGATAATGATGATGGTGGTAATGATAATTTTCATCATCAATATCATAATGACACTGCCATTCATCAAAATCATCCTGTTTATGAATGCGTTAGCTATATATTGAAATGTTGCCTGTTGAGATAACACGAAGATGGAAAATGGGATTCTCATATGTTGTTTCAGCTATACAACATACTCGAACCTGGGCGGAATTTGAGGATGTATGACGGAGTTCATGCATTAAGAAGACAGGAATGTACATTCAAGGTTTCAATAAAGGGCCTTTTCCATAGACAATGCGTGTAAAACGTTGCAAATTGATAAGCCCATATATATCACAAAATTAGACCATAATCGTATTATTAAACTGAAAAATAGTGAACATTAATCTTGTAGAAAATTTTCTCAGGTACAACATATCAAAGATTGGGCGAGGAATGATTGATATTCACGGAGCTAGAGTCAAATTTGCATAAATTTTATGACGTCATAACACGCAAAATAGTAAATTAATTTTGAGTTCTGACGTCATTTTGATGAGGTATTGATATTTTTTAGGGTTAAATGAGATAAGCATGAGACAGTCTGGTCAGTGGCTTTGATATGCGGACATTATTTTAAAGAATTCTTGACAATGTTTAAATCAGAAATATTATTCATATTTCATTTATACGTACAGCCTATGATCATTATTATTATCATTTTTTGTTTGGAGGGGGGGGGGGGTGGGAGGAGGTGGGATGTCTGTACTGAGATAGGGGGTTTGAATGAGATAGTGGAATGCATTGCACAGTGCTCTAGTCCAGATTTAGGGGTTTTCCAAGGCAGGTAAACCCGCGAAAAGCATGCGAGGCCGGGGTGGGTCATACATGTTGGCTGCCCTGAGATAGGGGATTGTTTGTAAAGGGAAGGAACGAGCAAGTACATACCCGAAATAATACTGAAGGGGTGCCAGAGGCAGGAATGTAAGAGACATTTCCTCCATTGGGCGAGGGTACCCTTGTACCTTTGTACCCCAAATTATATGATAATAAACTTAAGTGTAGGCATATTTAAAAAAGAACAAAGGGCGTTTTATTCCCACCCCCCCCCCCTGGGAAATTCCCTTTAAATTATTTAACATATAAGCGTACTATTTTGCGATATAGTCACAAGTATCAAAATTATGATCAAATACGAACCAATTGAAGAGCAAGAGCATTCACGATGTGATTGCGAAACTTAGAGAGAGATTAGAGAGAGGCCTGGAGGTCGAAACTCACGGTGCACCATGATCAAGCAGAATGTTGAAATGAGGTTATTAGGACTGCTCTTATTTTGTATGCGAGTGTGTAAAAATAGTTTCTAGATCAAATCCGGTCGGTTGGTTGGTTTGCTTTATTAATTTGTATGTTCTTATATTCAGGGAAGCCTTAGTTCAATTCATAATCGTTCGATATAATTGTATATCACAAATCTTAATCAACTATTGATTGAAATGAAAATGATTGCCAAATATGTATTTCTTTCTTGACATTATTGTCAATTAAGATCATCTCAATGAAAACAAGAACAAAAATATTCAAAAGGGGGGCTCACAGTCAGCAGCCCCCCCCCCCTTCAACTTGCAGCAGCCTATCCGTTCAATTTCAGGTAACTATGCACTAACGAATAATTAATATATACTTGGAATCAGAGGGGGATTATATCACGATATAGAATTCCTTTGACAGAACATATATTATATAATACCCTATAAATTTAAAAACGCATCGATAAAACTTGCACACATAAAGAACGATTATCACAAATGCTTATTATCAAAGTAATTTAAAAGCCACCATGCCATTTTATCTCCAAGTGACCTTCATCTGCTCATGCGCAAATTGTAATTACGAAATGGCTTATTGCTTTATTATTACGAGTATGTAGATATTACCGGTAAATACACCCCCCCCCAAAAAAAAAGGGGGGAGAAAAAAAAGAATAGTAATAAATAAACAAAAACACTCTTGTTTATTTCTCTTTTTCTTTTCTAAAAAAAAAGATAATAAAACGCAAACTTGTGGCAAAAAATAGTCAATTATGACTGATTGCTATATAATACCAAAACAACAACAACAACAAATACGTACCGCGTGTATTATTACGCCGGCCGCGTTATTTTTTTTATGCGGCACAGATTGGGGCATGGCGCGTGTTAAACCTATGGGAAGTACCTTCTTTCCCTTCTGAATAGTGTCTGCACGTACGTGAGACTAGTCATGTTCGCTAGCGGATTAGCGCTGCGAAGAAGTTTGTATATCCATCGCGAACTATGTGTTTAGATAACATTCCAATTCGTTTAAGTTAGTTAAGTTTCATTGACTAATTATTGTGATGTTCTCCTTATCGACGTGCTGCCTCTTCTTCAGATTTCCAATTTGATTTTAATTGTTGATGTAATGATTTTCCATGCGGTAGTGGATTACATGTAACACCATCAAAAACAGACCTCTACTACTTATACTGTCTATAGTACAGTCTGTAAATCAAGACCCCTTTAAAAAAAAAGCCCCAATCTGTGCCGCATAAAAAAATAACGCTTCCCGGCCATGTGACTCGATCTCCACCACAGGCTCTCGATCTGGTGATGGTTTGAACTTTGAGTAGGTCCTAGGCTAAGACAGCAAGATGTCGAGCATAACAAGATTATTGCTTGTTGGGCAATTTACAACGAAGAACTTACAAAGTGGACGGAGCTTCATGCATGGGACCGTTGGAGTAGAACAATGCCCAGAGAGTTTGTTTGACATATATATCAACAATTTGAATTCCATGCAAGGGGATGTGTTGAGAAAACTCGAGGACATGCCATCTCGTACTACATTTGGTGCTAAGAGGGTCGTAGTGGACAAGGTAGCACGGAAAGTAGTGGTGACTCACAATTCGAAGGTTGGTAGACCCCTAACTACAGCTATACAGGCAGCCGCTAATCGGTCTAGTAGACCCCTATGTTGTATAAGTGGTATATTTAAGAATGTTTTCAGTTTCAGGAAATCTCAATAATTGGTAGCTAACCTATCATTGTTGTCAGCATAATTGAATTCCCATTTTTAGCCATGATAATGTAGTCAAATTGTTGTTTGTTATAAATGGAAAATGGGGGGGGGGGGGGGGGGGGGCTGGGCTGATGTTTTTTTTTGAGGGGGCCGCGGACCAGATAATTTTTATCAAGGGGGCAGATTTACGGCCTATTTGAGCCCCCAGGCTCTGTCTCTGAAATCCCATTACAAAATTGTATTGATAAACACAACAAAAGTGTCATGTGTTTGCACAGATCGAGTACAACAAGTCTTCGTAGACTAGCTACTATATACTGCAGACTACAACCTGTTCCCATCTATTACCTTAGATGTTTGTATACTTTCCAGAAATGTGCATATTTTTTTTAATGGTGATTTTTTTCTGTTTTAGATTTCCAAATGTTGATATTTCTTATTTCCAAGTGAATGGATAAAATAGTGGGCCGGAAAATTCTAAGCTGCCATACAGGAGTTGTAAGATTTCAGAATGTGGAAAATAAGCACCCATTTTTTTTTGCAGTCAAGATGGATTCTCCACATCTGCCTATTGGGCCAACTCTATAACTCAATGTGGTCATACATGTCAGAAACATGTCAGAAAAATGATATGACATTGAGTTTCCTAATATAGAGCTAAGCATTGCCTATGGCTATGTCTAGGCCCTGAGAGCAGAGGGTCATCTTTCAAAAGGCCTTAATTTTCCACATTCTCAAATATTACAACTTATGCAAGTTGGCTTGGAACTTTTGTAATTCCCATTCAATCAGTCATTAAAATTTAGGTATTGAAAATAGAATGTAAAAAATCAACTTTTTAGATAATTTGCACAAATAACTTCAAATTGCAACACATGTAAAGAAGTACATGGGACCACATCAGCATGTGACCCTAGCAGACAGCATTTCCAGGTGTCGTCTGCTAGAGTCTCCCTATGGACTTCTCTACATGTGTTGCATTTCATGAAAAGTTTTTTTTTTTTACAAATTCTATTTTTAATTTTTAAATTGTAATGACTGATTGAATGGGAATATAATCATTGCCAAAGTTCCAAGCTAACTTGCATGACTGAGTTGTAATATTTGCGAATGTGGAAAACTAAGGCCTTTTTGAAAAACAAAATGGTTCTCTCCACAGGGCCTATCATAGGCAATGCTTATAGCTCACTGTTGTAGAATGATATATGTCAGAAATTGATAATGATGTACACCAACAGAGAGCTAGGTTAGCTAGAATGATATACTGTATGTCAGAAATTGATAACCAACAGAGAGCTAGCTTAGCTAGTATGACTAGATGTAGAAAGGATCTACATGTACGGGAGATTTACAGTACACACGTTAATAGAACTTGGGTGCATTGCTTTCCAGGAGTAGTTGTATCCATATAGTTATGAAAAATCATGAAATAAACCACCTCTGTTCCATAACCTCCTTGGTTTTCACAATATATGCATCAAAATGCACAGATGATTGCTTTTCTAATTTGTTCTTAGTAAATATGGTCCAACAATCATAACTTCTAATTTTCTAAACAATTTATGAAATATAACTAAAGTTCTTGAACTTTTGAAGTTTAAATCACTATCTTGTCTGGGGTGGATATGAAATCTATCTTGACAATGGACTTAAGTGTACAACTGTAATTTTGGTTGTGAATGCTTTTGACAATTTTAACTAGTTTGGGGACTGTCATTGGTGATATGATTGGGAAGCTGATTTTAATTGAAATTTTTGGATGTTTGTTTTTCAGATTTTCTACAAAGTTGCAGATTTCGAATTTCCTGAAGAGTTGGTAGAGAACTTTCTTCATCCTCCTGTAATGAGTATTTCAGAAGTGAAAGCATCTCCGTCAAAGAAGAGGGTTAGTGTGACAGGAAATGTGGGAGAGGTAAGCCTTTATTTTCTTGTGTTATTCATTTGTAAATTTCGTCATATCAAGTCGTTACTCATTTCAAGTGAGTCTATTGAAACAACAATGCCTCTATAATATAGCAGTCAATCCCTAATTCTTGTTTGTGGGGTGAATTATAATGGTATTCACAATTGTTAGATTTGGGTTGATCTTTGTAAATGGTGTTGTATTGTAGTACATGTATGTATGCTATGAAAATCAGCCCCAAAATGAGAAGGTGTTCCCCAAAAAACGATTTGGGTGAGAGGGGGTCTTTTATTTCCATATTTGGCAATCCAAGGTTGTGTTGGGGGAGGGGTGTGATAAGATATAATATGTAAATCATCAATCTGTGTGTATCTTATCAGTAATTAATTCAGAATAGATGCATATCATTGTGTACTACTGCAGGTGGATTTACAGAGTATTTCTTTTATCCCAGAGTCATGAATCATTAATGAGCCTGGGTACAACAAAAGGTTGTCATAAATTAATGGAGTAAATCACAATGGCATTGTTGCTTTCTGAATTCATTCAATTTTGACAAAACCTATGCTGCAAAATGTGTGTCTCAGTAATGAATTTAGAAAGCAACAATGTCATTGTGATTTGCACCAATAGTTCATAAAACCTTTTGTTGTACCCAGGCTCATTAATGATTCATGACTCTGGGATGAAAGAAACACTCTGTAATTCCATCTGCAGTACATAATGACATGCTTCTTTTTTTAATTAATTAATGATACATACAGATTGATGATTTACATATCCCCTTCAAAGTACATGGCATGAGATCCATTTCAAATGGAAATATCAAGAGTGTCCATATTATCTTTGGTTACATTGTATATTTTAGATGTAGGTCTGTCTACAAGTCTTTACTTGCTAGTATATTTGAGCTTTGGGTGAGTTTTGTTGTTCAAATTTTGTATTTGTGTAGATTGGTGATGTCAGAAACGTTTCAGGCGGTAAAAGGCTCAGGACAGTAACGCTTAATGACGGGGATGAGGCAATCAGACTGAGTTTGTGGGAGGAACACACTGATATTCCTTTTGCAGTCAATCAACAAATCAAGGCTGAGTGTGTGGTTATCACCGAATGGAATAACACCAAACAACTAGAGTCAACACCAGCTCTCCATGTTGAGGTTTGTACAAATGCATGCAATAGTTGTATAGCTTAATTTATCATGGATATGATATCAAAAGCATGGATTTTTCACAAAGGAATTATTATGATTAAGTTGGTTTAGTTATGATGTGCGTTTTTATTATACTTTGGTATGTTTCAAATGTTTTGACAAGAAGGGGTAATTATGATTTGATTATAACATAGTGACATATCATAACCATATAAAAACTTATAGAATATGGCTATGGTAGTGTTGCTGAGGCATTTTCCATGACAGAGATATGTTTTTGAGCAGTGGCACGTACGTACTGCAGAGTTTTCAGAAATGTGTGGTAAAAAAAAGAAATTGTGCTTGTACACTTAGGCTAATGAAATAACAATAAAATTTATATTTGCTTTTGGAGTGTCAATTATGATATACATTACGTGGTGTAAATGGAGATTATTATTATTGTTAGTGTAACGGAGTTGTTTCAACGTAGCGGGCGCATGTGGGTCAGTGCATGCGGGTGGGCAGTTAGGTATTAGGCATGAGCAAGAGAGGACGTGTTCGGGCAGGTAGCTAGGGAGGGCAGGATAAGATAGGTGAAACAGGGTGAATCGGAGTACTGCTACTAGCTGTTGAAGGGAAGTTACATTGTAAAGTTGGAGTTCTTCGTGAATAAAGGCAAGTACCTTTTGATGTAAAATGACACTGTGTTTCCGTGTATTATAGAAAAGTAGCGTGATCTGAGTGCGATCGATGATGTTGGAGTGATAGCTTCACTGTTTATGAAAGAACCGTGCGGGTGATTGGAGTCTCGTGAGATTTATTGACCGCTCGGTAAATGGTGCAGGGACCCCGGACAAAACCCGTTACATTGGTGGCAGCGGTGGGATAAACATGCTGAAGCAGGAATTAAGCAACATTAAGTGATTATCGGGAATGCTAGTTCGCCTACACCTACGCCTTCACCTACTTCTAGTTCACCTACACCTACACCTACTATAGTTCACCTACACCTACTATAGTTCACTTACGCCTTCACCTACTAGTTCACCTACGCCTACACCTACTATAGTTCACCTACGCCTACTATAGTTCACCTACGCCTTCACCTACTAGTTCACCTACGCCTACACTTACTATAGTTTACCTGAACCTACTAGTTCACCTACACCTACACCTACTATAGTTCACCTACGCCTACACTTACTATAGTTTACCTGAACCTACTAGTTCACCTACATATATAAGTGCCTATTCTCCACATCCTATGTATAGCGCCTATAATGCTCTTCGTGTTATCACCTAAATAGCGCCTACACACAGCACACTTGCCCAGCTACACAGCACACAGTTTGAAGTTGTTGGATCACCGTGTGGCAGTATGGCAACTAGCCTGCATTCGGTGGAGGAGCTAGAAAACCTGGTGGCTGAACTGCAAGAGAGTAACGAGTACCTCGAACACTCCAAAGGACAGAACAGGCTGTTGATGGAGCAAAATCGCCTCCTTCAGTTGAAACTGGATTCAGCTACTGCAGCACACGGACGGAGGGATGAAGAAGTGCAGCTTCGTGACTGGGGAAATCCCAACAAGTTCGAAGTACGATCTCCAATGAGTTATGAACTGCCTGCCACAACAGTTGAGAAGACGGGAGAAATGGATAAGGCTGAGTTTCCCAGCAGGCTGTACAGAGAGGTACAACCACAAGGCACATTAACATCAAGGCAACACTTGCACAGTGAAACAAGTGAGTACAACCTCAGAGGATCAACTACAAGGGCCGACCAAGAGGAAAAAGAGTGGGATAGGGAGCATGCGAGAGAAGGAGGCATGTCACAGGAACCAAGGATGACAAGACAGGAATTGAGTCCTGGGTTTTCTGATGAAGAAAAAACAGGAATGTCGCGCATTTCCCGACCCAGCATTGTGCCAGACAAGTTCGATGGGAAGAATCCATGGATCGACTACATCCAGCATTTTAGGGCATGCAAGTTGGCGAATGGTTGGAACGACGAGGAGGCCAAGATTTTCCTTGCCGCTAGCCTTAGGGGAGCAGCGATCAAAGTCATGGGGAGCCAGAGGCAACTCTCGAGGATAACGTACCAGGAGCTCGTTCATTTGCTCGAGAAAAGGTTCGGCCCAGGGCAGATGGCTGAAAACTACCTCCTTGAATTACGTTCAAGGCGGCAAGGACCTCAGGAGACTCTTCAGGAGTTGGGTCAGGCTGTTCGAGAATTGTCTGAATTAGCATACCCAGAACTACCAGAAGAGGCGCGTGATCGTTTGGCGCGTACACACTTTGCAGAAGCAATAGAGGAGCAGGAAATCCGTGAGGGCATTTTCAGATCACAGCCAACCACAATGGATGAGGCAATACAAGCTGCTATGACCACGGACAACTTTTTCCGCCTTGAAGACCAACGAAGTGGGAGAAGCAGGTTCCACCGCAAACTAGCCAGATCGACGGAGGAACAGCAATCACCTCTCACAGAAATATGGAAAGAGTTAAAAGAGATGAAGCTCAAACTTGAAGAACGAGACAACAAGGTAGAAACGTGGAAGAACCAATCACGTGGAGAAGTTCGGAACTGCTACAATTGCGGCGAAAAGGGGCATTTGGCTCGGAATTGTCCTCAGAAGAAAGGACAAGATCCGTCGGGAAACGAGCACGAGCCGACTCTGCAGCCCGAGGGAAGGCCACAAGAAAACAAGGGCAAAACCGGAAAGGACGAACAGTAGAGAACAACCAAAGGGGCAGAACTGATCAGGAAAGACATAATGTGTCTAGGGCATGTGTCCAGAGTGGACTCTACGTTGAAGTTGAGATTAGGGGAGTCAAGACCATGCTTTTGGTAGACACGGGAGCAACAGATACAATTCTTTCTAACACAGTATACTACCGAATTCCCAACGAGAAAAAGCCAGAATTGACAAGGTATGGAGCAAACGTTTCTAATGCTGATGGAAGCAGAATGGAGACAATGGGCAGCTCCTGTCTAGAATTAAAGGTTGGCAGGACGGTTTGTTCAATTCGTGTCATATTTGGCAATACTGGCTCAGCAGAAGGGATCCTTGGAATGGATTTTCTGATAGCAACACATGCGAAGATCGACTTACAACAACTGCAACTGGACTTGAATGGAGACAAAATCAAATGCAGTGATAAGCTGGGGCATGGATTATGCTTCAGGGTGGTGGTAGAGGAGACTACCAAGATTCCACCGGGTCATGAAGCATTGGTCCCAGGATTGATTAAGGGGAATCCTGGTGAAGCCGGTCTCGGGATCCTAGAACCTACAGAGGAAAACGAAGTAGGAAGAAAAGGGGTGATGGTTGCAAGAATCTTGGCAAAATCTACAGACAACACAGTACCTATTCGAGTGTACAACCCCGGAGACAGGGAATGCACTATCAAGCGAGGCACAATGGCAGGTCACTTTACCCCGGTGAAAAAGACTGATGTTGTAGACATGACAATGCACACATCCAACGATGAAGATACAGGTGACGTCCCTCCACATTTGGTTGATTTGTTCAAGCGGAGCAAGACAGAGGTACCCAACAGCTTTCACGATAACATTGCCGAACTTCTACGCAAGAACCAAGACGTATTTGCGAAATCTGACACAGATATTGGACGGACCAACCTTGTTCGCCATGGCATCAACACAGGGAATGCGTCAACGATAAAGGAGAGGCCACGAAGATTCCCACCAAAGGAACAGCAAGAGATTGACTCCCAGATACAGGACATGCTTCAATCTGGAAGCATAGTGCCAACAGAAAGCCCGTGGGCTTCAAACGTTGTGTTGGTACGCAAAAAGGACGGATCGAAGAGATTTTGCATAGACTATAGGCGACTCAACAACGTGACAGTGAAAGATGCATTTCCGATACCCCGCATTGATGAGACACTGGACACTCTGGGTGGATCAGAATGGTTCTCAACTCTAGATCTAGCGTCAGGATATTGGCAGGTCGAGCTAGATGAGGATGCCCAGAAGAAGTCGGCATTTGTGGTCCGTGGTGGCCTCTACTCCTGGCGGGTCATGCCGTTTGGGCTCTGTAACGCGCCGTCGACATTTGAACGTCTTATGGAGCGTGTCCTTGCAGGGTTACACTGGAAGGTTCTACTCGTGTACCTCGATGATGTGATTGTTTTTGCGAAGACTGTAGATGAAGAGTTGACAAGACTAGAGACAGTTTTCCAGCGCCTCCGGGATGCCGGGTTGAAGCTGAAACCCAGAAAGTGCCATCTCTTCAAAAGGAGTGTCTTGTACCTTGGCCACGTAGTGTCACCTGATGGCATCTCTACCGATCCTGAAAAGATCAAAGTAGTGGAGGATTGGCCAGTTCCAACTTCTGTTAAAGAAGTCCAAAGCTTCCTCGGATTGGCGTCATACTACCGACGTTTCATTGGTGGTTTTGCAAACATTGCACGTCCTCTTCACCAGCTCACCGAAAAAGGCAGGGAATTCATCTGGACTAAGGAGTGTGACTGCGCTTTCTCTGAGTTGAAGGAACATCTCCTGACGGCACCAGTCCTCGCATACCCAGACCCTGAAAAGTCATACATACTGGACACTGATGCAAGCAACGTGGGCATAGGTGCGGTACTCTCTCAAGAAGTAGGAGGAAAGGAGCGAGTCATCGCATATGCAAGCAGAGCTCTATCCAAACCCGAAAGGAACTACTGTGTGACAAGACGCGAACTTCTAGCCGTTGTTGTCTACCTCAAGCATTTCAGACAGTACTTATACGGAAGTAAAATTACTGTCAGAACCGACCACGGCGCCTTGAGATGGCTGCTGAATTTCCGTGACCCGCAGGCGCAGATGGCACGATGGCTACAGGTCATAGCAGAATATGACATAGAGATAGTACACAGGGCTGGTCGTTCTCATTCCAACGCTGACAGCCTGTCGAGAAGGCCATGTGTTGCTTGCAAGCAGTGTGGAGGAGGTGAGCCACCTCTGGAAGAGCAACAGAAAATCCCAGAAGTTCACATAGACAATGGAGTGAAAGTGAACGCCGTGACCCTCGAGCCATCAATCACCTCTGCAGACATGAGAGACAGACAACTAGATGACAGTTCCATGAGTTGGGTCATAGAGATGAAGGAGAAAGGAGAAGACCGGGCCAACTGGAGTACAATGTCTTCCTTTTCAGCTGCGAAGAAGGCATATTGGCGATGCTGGGACCAACTCGAGATCAGAAACGGCGTCCTTTGTAGAAGATGGGAGTCAAACAGAGGCGATCAGATTGAGTGGCATGTTGTGTTGCCTGAGGCCCTCAGGAAGATGATGGTCCAAGAAATACACAGCGGGCCTTCAGGCGGACATCTCGGAATGCGTAGGACTACAGCAAAGGTTCGCCAGCGATTCTACTGGCCTGGCCTGGATACAGATGTTAGGTCCACAGTACGTCAATGCAACGTATGTGCTTCTAAAAAATCACCCAACAAGACCAGGAGGGCCCCCTTGCAGCAGCACCAAGTCGGCATGCCGATGGAAAGAGTCGCTTTGGACATCATGGGCCCCCTTCCCGAGTCGGAGCGAGGGAACCGATACATAATGGTTGTGGGAGATTATTTCACCCGATGGATGGAAGCCTATGCAATACCTGACCAGAAAGCAACAACTGTGGCGACTGAGTTCGTGAACCAGTTTGTATGTCGTTTTGGAGTCCCATCAGTCTTGCATTCGGACCAGGGCCGAAATTTTGAATCAGCGGTCTTCAGAGAGATGTGTATTGTCTTGGGCATAGAGAAGACACGGACAACGCCGTACAACCCGAAATCCGATGGACTAATTGAGCGATTCAATCGTACGTTGATCACCATTGTGTCCATGGCCATCGAACCTACCAGACGGCAAAGAGATTGGGATGAGAAGTTACCCCTTGCTCTCTTCGCCTACCGTTCATCCCCTCAGGAGTCGACCGGCGAGACACCGAACATGTTGATGTTAGGGCGAGAAGTACATCTGCCAATAGACCTTTCCGCTGACTTGTGCAAGGATGATCGGGAGCTGGATCGCGGTCTGGATACAGATTATGCGGAAAACCTAAGGAACAAGATGAGGCTGGCGCACGAACGAGCGAGGGAGAACACATCAGAGAGTTCAAGGAGGCAGAAGAAGGTCTACGACAGGAAAGCACAAGCACATGAATTAACGGTCGGGCAATTTGTGTGGTGCTACAACTCAGCTAGGACAAAGGGGTTGTCTCCCAAATTGCAGCGTCGTTGGAAAGGGCCGTTCCTCATCATTCATCGATTGTCTGATGTCGTCTACAGGATACAGGCAAAGAACCGAGGAAAGAAGATGGTAGTTCATGCTGACAGGTTAAAGCCTTATTTAGGTGAACCTCTTGCCTCGTGGATTGAGGAACCTACAAGTCAGCAAGTAGACCACGCTGAAGAGGAGAGTGGAATATCACAAACAGAAGACCTTGTAGAAGATGGTGTTGGAGTCCAGGCAGAAACAGAAACTGAGCAGATACAAGACATAGCCGAAGGGGAGTTGTTGCAAAGTAAAGCGGACAGTACTGTACAGCCAAGTCCAGTTCCTAGACGAAATCCACCACGGACAAGGAATGCGCCAGGGCGACTTCTATATGAGATTTGACTTTAGCGTGATTGCATTGACATGATTATGTGACTATTTTGCTGGATTGACGGATGAAGCTTCGAATTTGTACTGAAATCATAGATTAGTAATCACTTCAATTCTTTCTTTGTTGCTTGCACAGATCGTGTTCGTGCTGAGGGATCAACATGGGAGGGGACTCCGAGAGGACAATCAAGTGCTTCACATGCCAGAAGTACTTTGCACACAAGAGGAGCTTGGATCGTCACATTGACGTCGAACACAAGGACGAACAACGCTTTGTATGTCAATATTGCAGCAGAGCATACAACAGGAAAGATAACTTAACGGCACATTGCAGAGACAGACATCCTGAGAAATCCCAAGACCGGGAGCGAAGCCAGTTGCGGGGAAGGTACCTTGAAAGGCAGAGCAAGTCTGATCATCGCCGTCGCAGTAGGAGCCCGTCGAGGTCGCCTTTGCCGAACCAGAGAGAGGAGAAGAAGAGAAAGGACAGGAAGAAACAAGTTGTTCAGGCAAAGCTTGAACGCGATGAGTTGCCCCAAGACCCGCTCCAGGTTGTCGTCTCTCCTCGCACCAGGGAAGAAGTAGAGGGGAGGAAAGACAGTCGCTCGAGAAGACTGTCTGGTAAGCCACTCGCTATGATGAGACAGCAGCAACTCACCAGTTCTGAATCAGAGGAATCTGCAGTCGCTGATGTGGCGTCGCCGGAAGATGGTTGTGGAGGCACAGCTGTTGATGTCAGGAGTGTCCAAATAGGTCGTCCGATTCCGCCCCTTGACGTGAAGAGGTTGTTGCGCAACCAGAGGGTGGAAGTTAATGAATTTTCCTCCCAGACCTCGTATAATGGGGCAGAGAAAGTTTTCCAAGAGACGAGGGAGAGGAAGTACGGCGCCATCTTCTTGCGGAATAGTGCCGACGGGAGTCAGAAGGAAGAAGGCGGGGGGACGACGAAGGTGCGTAGTGTCCAAGCTGGAGTCGTAGGTGTTCATATGTCAGATGAGCAGTTCTCGCGAGCTATCTTAGGGAGGATTCAGAGCGTGACGCAGACTACCACTAGGCAAATATTTCAAGGGGGGATCCTTGTTAGTAAAGAGGAATCAAGGAAGGAGTTTCATGTCGACATCATTGCAGGATTTGATGATTCAACCCAATCCGTTCAGTGAGATGTTAGACGCTATGCACAAGTTCATATGATGATCGCAGATAATAACCAAAGGACTTACTACGTGTAATAAAAAAAAGAAAAAGAAACGGACTCTGTATATTTTTCATGTTTTCATCAGTTATTAATTGTTCAAGTTTTGAGATGTTTTGTGACTTGCAGTTTTATAGTTAATGTTACGCACGGGATTAGTTGTTTTTAAGTTTATAAAACGAGGACGTTTTTAAATTAAGGAGGGGGCAGTGTAACGGAGTTGTTTCAACGTAGCGGGCGCATGTGGGTCAGTGCATGCGGGTGGGCAGTTAGGTATTAGGCATGAGCAAGAGAGGACGTGTTCGGGCAGGTAGCTAGGGAGGGCAGGATAAGATAGGTGAAACAGGGTGAATCGGAGTACTGCTACTAGCTGTTGAAGGGAAGTTACATTGTAAAGTTGGAGTTCTTCGTGAATAAAGGCAAGTACCTTTTGATGTAAAATGACACTGTGTTTCCGTGTATTATAGAAAAGTAGCGTGATCTGAGTGCGATCGATGATGTTGGAGTGATAGCTTCACTGTTTATGAAAGAACCGTGCGGGTGATTGGAGTCTCGTGAGATTTATTGACCGCTCGGTAAATGGTGCAGGGACCCCGGACAAAACCCGTTACATTATTATCTGCCTTGTATTAACTATGTTCCTAAATGAAATAATTGTGTACATACCAGGATCATAGTGTTGCTATATACATGTATTGACTCTAGTTCTATGAAACTGTATATTTTTCTGAGGATTTAATTTCCATAATGTTTTTCTTATGAAGTTAACAATAAATGGAGTCTGAGTGTCTCCCATACTTTTTGTTGTACTGTTTACCACTCATGCTTCTCAACAACCTGTTGTTTTTTTTTTTTTTTTTAGTATTTGTTTTTATTTTTTATTTTTGTGTGTGTGCTAATGTGCACATATTTACAGGCATGATAGAGCTTTTACTGTGCTTTCAAATGACACCAATTTCACTCCATTATAAGGGGTGCCTACTAAAGTGCTAACAGGACCAAGAAGCATTGGGGAAGCATATTGTGTGATTTCATCATGTTTTCCATGTGAGATAAAAGTGTGTGAACTATCCATTTGTGTGATAACATGATATCAATTTTAACTTCTCCTGTAGGTGCAGAAACGCTAGGTATGTTCAAAAATAATAAATGGAGTACCGGGTAACTAGAATATTTTAAAAATAATCGGAGAGGTTGCTCATTGGATAGGAAATTGCCAAATTTGCATTGCGTCTTGTGTGAAATCTGAATTGTTATTCTATGAATTACTCTGAAATGAATTGGGTCTAAATATGGTAATCTAAGATTTGTTTTGTTGTTGCACATTTTTATATATCTTTTTGTTTTTGTTTGTTGTATTGCAGACTGTGGCAAGAAATGATGAGGATATGACTGGGGAAATAGTCGCTGTTACGTCTGAAGAGTAAGTTTGTTTGCATTGAAATATAATAAGCGTTTTTAACTTTCTGTCCACCAGAGGTAAAGACAGGCATTATTGTTGGGGTTGACGTCTGTTTGTTGTCTTTGTCATTCTTGTGATATTTCAGGAACTATATGAGCTATGAATATTAAATGATATGTTAGTATAGGAAGATAATTTTATTAGTGGTCAATTTTTGTTATTTCATTTATCTGTTTTTGTTATGATTACATGTACTTCAATTATTTTATCAAGTAGGTATGTGGGAGTAGTATGTATCTTACCAACTATACTAAAGAATCCATTTAAAGTGTTCTTTTTTTGTGTTAATGGAAGGAATTCTGAGTTATTGTGCATAGATAAAATAACATATTTCAGTGGATATAATTTGGATAAAGACCTGAAGAACAGTTTCCAGACAAATTTCAGAATCTACTGCATAGCTAGTAGTGTGAAAAGGTAATAAAATATTTGCAAGCTTTTAAATTATTTTCATTTGTTTTAGAAAGAATATAATAGTAAAAAGGTCCAGTGGCAAGGATTACGCTTCAAATGCGCTCACTCATATTATGACATTTTTTTTGTTTGTTTAAATGTTTGGGCCAAACATTATATGTAGTCCCATACATGCATTTCTATGTGTAGTGCATGTGACTCTTAGCAGAATTTGAGTGAATTTCATATCAATATTATCATTTTGGCGATTCCAAAACACAACAAGTCTTAGGTGAACTACCAATCTTTCCAAATCACTTTTAGACAGTTTTTCTTTTACAATTCAATCTCATGACCACAACACTAATTTCCCTTTAAAAGTGGAAATCTATAATAGAATACTGTTGCTATGCCATAATAGTTTTTTGACCAATTTTCACAGTGATTAGCAATTTTCCCATTGTTACAAATATTCAGTTATGTACTTTCATACTATTATTAGTCTGATTTTCCTTTGGATGTATAGAATTATCTTTGAAGTCATGAAGTGATATAGGTTTGAAAAAGAAAGCCTTTTGTTTACCCAGGAGCCACACACAAATCTATACACAGGAGTACAATTAAAGGGTGTTTGGAAGAACATGGGTAATAATATTGTTTGGTATAGGAATTATTTGAATATCTATATTTAACTATATTATATTGTGTTTGTCTGTTTCCTTATAGCCTGGAAGTACCGTACGAAATGGTATTTGTAGTTGATGGAACTGAGTATGAGGTCACAGTGACGGAGCAGTCGGTGATTCAAGTAAACATGCAGACTCTCCCTGTAAGGGGAATACTGTCTACAAGGCAGGAGGGGATGGTGATGGAATGTGTAAGGTTGAGACAGATTATGGATACAGACTGAGGAAGATATAGATTGATCTTCTTTTGAGTGCTTAGTTTTATTTATTTCTTGATGTTTAAGTTTATATTTTATAGTTTATATGTAAGACTCTACCTTTAGATGTGTAGGTATTAGTTGAGGCAGGTACATAGACAGTTGGGGTCAAAAGTACCATATATTAATTATGGTATGTTGGCATGGGGCAAATCATCCAAAACTCAAATCCACAGGCTTTTTTTTGTGCAGAAGCGGGTTATTAGAATAATTTGTAAAGCAAATTATCGTGCACATACAAATCTACTTTATTATGAAAACAGTATTCTAAAACTAGAAGATCTCTATTCAATGCAACTTGGAATGCTCATGTTTAGCATTCACTCTGGAGACCTCCCTCCTGCCCTTGCTCAAATCTTTAGAAGAAATAACCAAATTCACAGCTATAATACTAGACAGGCTTCTGCTCTCCATTTACCATATGCAAGGACAACCTTCACTTTGAATACACTAATGTCCACTGGCCCCAGGTTCTGGAATTCACTTGATACTACCATAACAAATGCTTCAAGTATCTCAGTTTTTAAACGTAGACTTAAGTCATATTTTCTTGACAAGTATGTCGATGACACATGAATGTGTTATCAAGCTTTATTGTTAGTGTACTGTAGCATATTTAACTCTACTCTTGATCTTTTTTTCGTTAATTCTTGACTTTGACATATAACCCCCTTTATCCCTTTTCTTTTTTCTTTTTCTTTCTCATCTGTACATACTACATATACCATTTATTCCTACTTGACCTCTGCATTCAGAGAGCAATAACTCATTGATGTCTCGACTTGGTGTCGGCTTGGGTTTGTCCATATTAGATCATATTAGATGCAACGTTGGGTAGTTGTTCTCTGAGAGTATTTTGTAAATAGTTTTATATATTCCATATTTGTTGTTGTATTCATAAATAAGTTATCTTTGTCACATCATATGAGGGGGCCTTAACTTAACAAGCTGTGCTTCAACCAAGGTCTCCTCGTCTTCCTTTGTTCTACATTGTACTGTTATGATTATACTCTATTATATTTTGTCACATGTGTTTTCTGGAAGACAAATAAACTTGATACTTGATACTTGATACTTGAAAAGTCAACATACACATGGTATCAAGATAATTATATAACTGAGATTTTTATTATAATAACAATATTTGGCATCATTTATTTGGATGAAGATGGTCAGGTATGGTATCCATTTCATTTGGATAGAGTATATTTTCATAAAATGTATTTAGCAACATATATCTGGTTGATATTACTTTAATTTGGATAAATTCATACACCAACCAAAATAATTGGTGATGCTGCCTGCATTGTGCTTTATTTTTATTATTTTTTCTTGTGGAAGCTTTGAACAAGCTTCTTCCATACATCTAAGATAATTCCTCCAGCAAGATTGCAGAAATTCAGTCACTCTGGTAGGTTTCTTTCTGCAAATTATGTTTTTGAGGTCTGTTCATAGGGTCTCTATAGGATTTAAGTCTCTGCATGTGACAATTACTCCATAATCTCAACTTTTTCTCTGTAGTCTATTTTACCTACTTACTGACTCTTGGACTGGTGTTAATGACTGTTTGGGTCATTGTGATAATTAAAGACCAAATTCCAGTATGGTTCAGAGTTCAGGCTGACCTATTGATATGATGCTACATATGCTCCAGTATCACACTTTATATTTGGATTTATCTATGGGCTGTATTTAAAGTGTGGTGTTAGAGCATGTAGCATTAATCAATATGTCAGCCTGAAACATGAAACCATATTAAAGTAGGTTCTTTAATCATCACAATGACTTCAACAATTATTAAAATTAATTTCAGGGTGGGTAAAAGAGAGCAAAGTAAGAAATTATGAAGTGATTGTCACATGCCTAGACCAGAACCCTACAGAAAACCTATGGCCAGACCTAAAAAGTGGTATTTGTTAAATGGAACTTTCAAAAGGAACTGCATTGTTGCAATCTTGGTGGAGAGGAATGGAGAATAATCTCAGGAGAGGTATGTAAAAAGCTTGTTGATAGCTTCCACAAGTCAAAAAAACAAAAAATAAAGCAAATAACAGGCAGTGCCACCAATTGTTTTAGATGGTGTACTTTTTACCCATTGAGTTCATGAAGTAACATCAATTATGTTGCTAAATATATGAAAACATATTCTATGAAAATAAAGTATAAGTAGATACCATTCTGAACTATTTTCATCAAAACAAATGATGCGTAATGTTCTTATCGTGGTAACAATCTTAGTTCAACATTTTCTATCATTTGTATGGAAACTTTTGACCCCAACTATAAATGTAAATGTGATTTTGTTGTTCTTGATGAGGTTATACATAGTTGTTGGTTATAACTTATTTTTGTTAGCAATATCATGGAGTTCTGAAGGTGAATTTTGAGGGTTAGTTTTGGAAAGTGATAACCCTTTTGGGGGAAGGGGGTTACGAAGGAGATTATCCATGATGTTGGTTATACTTCATCTACTTTATGAACTTCTGTCAGTTTGTTAGTTTGCCTTTTGGTTTGTTTGAAAGCGTTCAGTTTGAAAGTTATCTCGATTCTTTAAAATATGTTACCATTACTGTGCTGTATGGATATGTCTGTTAGGTCAAGTGTAAAGTTGTATTTGAATGATTGCTTGCCTAAAATGTGTTAATTGCACATCAAAGAGTAAGGAAATAACACAATTGTTATTTGATAACTTTAGAATGTTACAAGAAATACAATTTTGGTTAATGGAAATGTTTGACAATAGAAGCAGTCCACACAAATATGGGGTAGAGGAAATTTGTAATGTGTTTACTTGTTTGTGAAGGATTGAACACTTATTTGCACAAAATGTGATTATACAGTGCATGTGATCAAGAAAAAAAGTATAATCTACCTTGATTTCCATATATTAAAAATTATAACTTATGTGGCATTAATATTTATTTCATATAACTCATATTCTGTCCAAATGTATACCTGTGCTGTCATGGATAATTGAGCAATTTGGGTTTACTTTTTTATGGGATGCACTGTAGTGTTTGAACACATACAATTGCAACAAACGTTTTTATCATCAAGATAAGAGCATACATTTTCTTTTAATTACTTGACAGTGGAACTTGTACTACCTGAGACTATAAATTGATTGCATGTGCATTGAAGCACCTATACAACAACGAACAGTTACAACTATTTGTTTTGGGTTTCGAGAGACTAAGGTTATATTTAAAGTGAAGTAAGTACTGTAAGTATGTGGTTTAATTATAAAGGATAATTTCAGATATTCTGTAGCTAGATCATTTAAAATTTTAAACATCATGAGATGCATACATGTTCTTTTTGTTGTGTACTCAATTTCTTCCAATTGAAAATATCATGTAAAGTCGATGTATGAGATTGTGGGTTGATCCTCGATACAATGATACAGATGAAAGTTGCTCAATATATTGTTATTGGTGTTTATATTTGTATTAAAGTATTTTTATATTTTCATGAATAACTGTTTAAATCTATTTATGTGATTGAAATACATGTACTCATCAAGATTGGGGGGGGGGGGGGGGTGTTGTCCATACATTAATTATTTTATGAGCCATGTTTGTAGTTTGTGCATTGTTATGTAATATGTGATTCTTATTTCTTTGAGGAGTGAGTGGATAGGTTTCAAGTTGTAATAGTGTTATAATAATATTAATAACTATATTGATATACAGTCTACTCCCGTTATAATGAGCTCAGATACAATTAATCTTATGCAGTTCTTCCAGTGTTGATTTCATATGTATGGGAGTGCACATGTGTTTATGTTTTAGTGAGAAATGATCAGTAAATCAAGACTTTTTTATAACGGGAATGGACTGTATTGAATTGTGCTTCAAGAGGTCTAAGACAACTGTTATACATACATTGTAGGTTGAAAGTGGACTGAAGCTGCCGATCTAGATAACGTATAAAACCATGAAACCTAGATTGAGTGAAAACATTTGACACCAGCCTTGGTCCTGGAATTGGTATGTGAAACACTAAAGTGGTCTTGGGCTGGCTTACAAAAGCAAAACTGACGTATATGTGAAAAATATGATTTTTTTTTTTCACAGCACGTAATTTACAAGGCGGCCTGAGTCCACTTTGGTGTTTAATGACGATAATGATGGTGATGATGTAGATGTCGATAATGATGATGATTATGATGATGATTATGATGATGATTATGATGATGATTATGATGTTGATTATGATAAGGATGTAGATGTCGATAATGATGATTGTGATGATGTCGATGATGATGTAGATGTCGATAATGATGATGATTATGATGGTGTAGACTCTGTGTCAATGATGATGATGTAGATGATGATGTAGATGTTGATTATGATGATGTCGTTAATGATGACGGTCATCATAAGGATGATTATCAGTATGATTGTTATGATCATGATGATGATTGTGATAATCGCTAATGATGATAATGATGATCATAAAGATCATGATGATGGATATATGAGATAAATTAACAGGGTATACTGAGCTATATGAGGTTTGATTTGATGATTCTATTATGGATTATTCGCATGAAATTTCACTGCGGATAAATGGTATGGTTTAGGCAGTGCGCCCTCTTGTGTTATGGACACTGCAAAAATGCTGGTGTTAAATATGCAACACTGAGCTGGTGTTAAGCTTGCAGTGCATGTTAGATTGGTATCGATATTAAATTATATTATCGATACTAAATATTTTTTAACAGCAAAAAATGGTGTTATTTAACACTAGCCTAGCATCTATATGCATCCACACCCACTAGTGTTGAATTAACACCATGCAAAGTGTCAAATTAACACCACCATATGGTGTTAAGATACACCCAGCAGTTTAATTAAGTGATGCATTTTAATTAACACCAAAGAATGATGTTAATTGAAAATCAGTGGGTGTAGATGCATATTATATGTAGATTCTGGACCGGTCTTAGATTTAACACGCGTTGTGATAAATTTAACACCCTGGTTTTTGCAGTGTAGGTCTACTGAGTTGACTTTGGGAATGGAGATCACTAGAATAGAAACATTATATAAAGGGCAATTAATTGGTTTGAATGACCCCATAAATCGAAGGACCACCTAATTATCGGTAGTATGTACCATATCATCATAATGTGAAAAATGATATGCCTCCTTTTAATTGCAAATTTAGACCATGATGTCGTTGTCAAAATAAAAAAATAAAAATCAATATTTTTAGAGTTTAGTTACAATATACAGGTAGTATTGCACAAAAAAAAAATCACTTTTTTCAATTATTTTTTGTGTTTTTGAGGATACCGTGAATTGCATTTAATATTATTAAGCAACGTCGCTTCGACACTTCGAACATGCAACGTACGTTTCTCTTTGACTTCGACAATATCTTGATATTAGATCATCTAGACATCGTGTAACATATTAACAGGTTAGTTGATTATCCGAGATTTCCCTCTCATTTTTATGCGGCATTCAATGCAATATCAATCATGGTGTGCAGCGACACGTTATTCTGTATGTAACTCGAAATCACGGCAAAGCGTGCATGATAGTGAATGCAGTGCACCGCCAATATAATACAAGGTCAATCAATTCATTGAATTTACCTTGTACAGGTAGGGTGTCTGATCGCGCACCAAGTTTTGTGTGTTAAAACTCTTCCCATTGACATTGCACACATCCCTATAGAGTCTATGTGCATTGCAAAATTGGTCAAGTTTTTAAAAATAAATTTAGATTCAAACCTGGCTTAATCTGTTGTGATCCTGAAGTGAAGGTGATACTCAATAAATGAGGTGTCATATGAAAGAGCAGGTGAATCCCCATATTTCCAAAGGGGCTGCATCTCAGCATTCTAAAAATATCTTGGTCAAAACAGCGATTTAAATCTGTTTCCATGGCAACTCGGGAGATTTCCAACTTTTGAGATATGCAGCCCCGAGGGATAATTAGTTCAAGTCGTAAGGAATATGTCAGTATGTTAGTGTTCTTTTTTTTTGCTAGCCCCAAGGGATCACGTACTAGGATTTAAGTTTGAAAATACCCTTCCCCCACTTTTTGCATAGATCTAGACCCTAGAGTATATAGCCTAATGCATTGGAATGCAGCTGTTGAGCAAAAAATGATAACTCGGCGTGAACTACTTTTTTGTCCATTCTGACCAAAATGCTATGAATATTGCAGAGTTTTTGAGGTGCTGTATCTTTTGATAGAAACATCGGTGAGTCTTGAAATTTGAAATGTATTATTCTGATTACATTTTTTATTCAAATATCCAACAAAAATGGTGAAAAACGATCCCAAATTGAAAATTGAATATCGTTCAGACACCCTAGTACAGGGAACTGCTGTACAGTGGTGATTTCCTACTAATGGAAAGTGCATGCACCAAGATTGGATTGTATCTCCCAAGCCCAAGGAGGCATGTTCCAAAAAAGGGTCTGAAAATTCCACTAAACAAGATTTAAAATATCTAATTAAAGAATTATAGATCTAATGCAATAATACCCTAGATTACCCTTCTTTATTTTGAGGTAGGTTTATACGTGGTTTCGCTAATTATTCTTGAGATATTTTCTCAGCAACCAAGAGGGCAGCATGCAGCCATTTTTAACACAACCTGACATACAGATGGTTCTGTATCATGGTATGTGGTGCACCTCGAGATATCTTTAGATAGGTGCCGCACTGCACACGAGACGCTTGGCTTTGCGGAGAGTTTGCAGTGAGCACCATCTGAAGATGTCGAGCGATCACTGCATTTACATTTGATCGCACAACAGGGCAAGTGTGTTATCAGTTTTATAAAATTGCAACACAATCAAAACAAACGACAGTCTAACTTAGATCTAGAAAATTGAATATAGATCTAGACCTAATACGTCGGTGAATACCCACGTCGGTTGAATACTTACCAGAAAGTCAAGGCCCACGCCCATGGACTTTTTGGTATTAAAGTTTTAACAATGTTTTAGATCTACTTTGATGGCTGGGATGAGTACGGGAGTCTTTGTGAACACAACTGTAAATGTAATCGACAGCTCCACAGCTAACAATTACAGTCAAAGCTGAAGAAATTGTAGATCTAACATTAAATCACAAAATGTTGAGAGCTCCACAAGTGTGCAAAAACGGCAAAAAAAAAGTCATCGCACGCTGGTGCGCGTTGCACTAAAATTCTTAAATGCCACGTGACGCGTATTGACCAATCACGATGCATAAAATAACAGCAATTTTATAATTAGTGTTAGTGCTAGTCAAAACACCCATTGCTTTGCCTTTGGGCGTAAATTGTAGATCTATTGGATGAGTGTCTGCACGTAGATTAGACTGAGAGATCTGTCTATGAATTAATTCGTTCCTAGTATAGTCCTCTCATAATACACATCTACGTGGCACTTACACTAATACAAGGTCATTCATTGAATTGACCTTGTACAGGGAACTGCTGTACATGTAAGTGGGGAGTTCCTACTAATAATTAGACCGACCAGCCACTCACAATACGTACGGATCGCATTTAAAACAGTTGTGCGCACATACAAACAATAGTAGGGAGGCCAATGCCCAAATCTAACTTTTTAATTACTGATTTGTTTATAAATAAAACAAACATTAAAAGAAAGCATTTTCTTTCACTAAGAAAACTCACCCATCTGCTGACTCCAGAAGTTCCATAAAATAGGAGATATCCAGCTAGTTCCTATGAGATTCCTTCTACGCCTGACCGTACGTAAGAGCCTTGAAACAATCAATTTGATGGTCCCAAAAATTACGTTGAGAATTAGACAGGCCCGAGGGAATGGGCGTGTCATCATGGTCATTGCCCGGACAACAAGTTCAAAACTTCGCGCGAAAGTACATTCATCATCACCGGCTAGCCTTGAATTAGTCGCACACACCGACACAGTACTACAGGCCGGCCAGGTATGGTAATTGCATGCAAGCCGCAATCGAGCCATGTTAGCATGCCATGGCATGGAGGGTCAAAACATAATGAGAGAAAGCTTGAAAGCCACTCATTGTAAATTAAGAAAGTGATTGAAATAAATAAATAGGCCTACCTTAGTTTTGAGACGTATTCCAATTACTATTTCCTCATGAGTAAAGATCAATCTGACATTGCATTATCAGCTATACAACTATTGCATGCATTCATACAAACCTCAACATGGAGAGCTGGTGTTGACTCTAGTTGTTTGGTGTTATTCCATTCGGTGATAACCACACACTCAGCCTTGATTCGTTGATTGACTGCAAAAGGAATATCAGTGTGTTAGGCTTTAGCATAAATCAGTAAGGAAACTGAAATCCTGGTCATGAGCACACATAGGGTCCAGGATAGCCCCGGAACGCTCCCGTGAAGCGGGAGCGTCCTAAACGGGACCCTGCAATTTTTGTGTTGTGGCGATCAGACAGCTAGCTGCAGCTGGTGTAAAATTGATCCGTGTAAGTTAATAAACAATTAATAAAGTGAAAATTGATAATACTTGCCAAGTATGTCCCCTTATTATTACAACACACAAACTTGAACAACTTATCAAAATGTTGAACAAAGGTAGATTTTCCTCTCCATTCGTTCCCCTACAGAGAGTTGTTTTCTTCGTCCTTTTGCAACGCGATTTGCTTCGATTAGAGCAGCCAAGTTTATGCCTGACAATACACCATTTTGTTTACTATGAAACCCAATGCTGCAATGCTTTGCATGCGTTATATACGCCATTGTGTAATTCTCACAGTTTGGAGTAATCCTAGAAAACGTCACAATTACTCACAAGTCATTGCGAAGCTCATGAATATGGGCGCTGCCAGTGCTAGCAGACGACGCTGAAAATAGGGAATTTGATGTCTCTAGATATATTTTAGTGTAATTTGGGACTCGGGTTCTGGTTATTTATAGGGAAAGAACCATTAGTAATTACCATAGTAACATTGCTCGATAGCTTATCAAAATCAAGAAATCATTGGTATTTACCATAGTTTGCAGAGATAGCATTAATTGTAAAGATATCATAGTTTTATGCAATGGGGCTGTGATGGTTGATATGTATGACATACTGAATTGTTATAATGAGGTTGCACTGTATTATGAAATGTTTGAGTGACATCAAAGTATGCAAATTAGTTGTTACCAAATTTAAATTTGTGATGGAATCTAAATTGGTTTTATCACTTTTGTATATTTTTTGGTTATGTTTTACGTGTAGTGTTTTATTTTGTTTTGACGACAGGTGGAATCTGTGCCAGGGTAAACTGCATTTCTGCCACCTTTGTGTTGCTATTCTGTTTACATCGCGAGGGTTTGCGGGAGGTAGGTGTTAACACCATATTCAATCTCCAGTCATCGTAAATTATTTGCAGTGATATGTGAAGACCGCGGGGAACTGCCAAAAAAAATAAACGGTCAACAGGGTTGTGAAATGTGAATGCAAATGAACACGGTCCATTTGAAATTACCATGACCGCCACAACAATTTCAACATGTTTAATTTTTGAAGCAGTTCCCGGCAGTATGCACGGATCACTCCGGATTAGGGCTGTAGTATTCCAGTTATTCCAAAAACGGTTATCCTCCCTCCGAATCCGTTTGGTTTTCGGTTAACCTATACCGAATTGTGAGACATCATTTTAATCTGATATGTATCAATTTGCTTGGATTAAACACCAAAGTGTTTATTTTCTTTAGTGGTACAAGGGTTTTGTAGTACTATCAGCCTAATTTCATTCATTTCCTTTGAAAATGTGATTGAACAATAATGATTTTCATCAATTTGATGTTGGTCTTGATAAGTTTTACCCATGTTTTTAAAGTATTCAACATTATTTCTGCTTGATCTAGGGCTAAAACCTAAAAATGGTTTCAAATTGAAAACTGGTTTTGACTTTAGACGGTCGGTTTCAGTTTGGTTAACTTTTGACAACAGCTTTACTGCGGATGAGTGACGGATCACTGGGGATTGAATACGGTGTTAATGCCTAAAGCCCCATTTACACATTGACAATTGAAACGGCTATTTATGGCAGTTTTACATTCCGCCATTGTCAACGAGCAATGCGTAAAGCCCCATTTACACATTGACAATTGAAACTGTAATTTATGGCAGTTGTACATTCCGCCATTGTCAACGAGCAATGCGCAAAGCCCGATTTACACATTGACAATTCAAATTGCAATTTATGGCAGTTGTACATTCCGTCATGGTCAACAAGCAACGTGTTGACACATTAGTTGGGTTGACACTTGCTAAACTTAAGAATTAGGTTGAAATCTTAATCATCTACGCTCAATTCACGAGCAGCGGGGGGTCCGCAGTCTATCATTATCCCATGTGGACGCAATTTAATCAATGAGCCCCACGATTAGCGTGACCTCTCCGTCAACACCAAAAGAGGATACTTTTTTTTCTTTCTTTTGTGGTCTCAAAATATGAAAATTTGACATTTTGCTCCGTTGGAGGGGGGGGGGGGGTGGTAAGGTCACCTTTTTTAGGTCAGCCATAAGAATATATATACACCTGTATATATATATTTTTTTTTAATAATTTAAAAAAAAAAAAAAAATATCCAAAGGGGGGTGTTTTTTTTTGGGGGGGGGGGGGGGTTTACACACTTAAAAATACCAAAGGGGGGGGGGGGGTTTAGTGTCTCAGTACAATCTACACATCGTTAGTGTTTGTTGATGCTGCCCCCAGTGTTCCGTCTTCTATAGGGTAAAAAGCCATATTTTATTCTTGTGTGCACACTAACTACCACATTTGTTGACAGATTTGTGACACCATAGGAAGATGATCTTATCAGATTTTTGAGAATGTAGGTCAAAGGTCAAGAGTCACAGAGGTCAACTTGTGAAATTACAGGTATTGAGCTCGTTATCATGATGTCTCAAGAACCAATCGAGGTGTGAACTTTAAACTTGAGGATAGAATGTATTTCCATAGGAAGACGATCTGATTATATTTTGGAGTCGGTAGGTCAAAGTTCAGGGCGAGACACAACATCGCTAATGCCTTGTTTAAACTGAAAAGTCATCCACAAAGTAGATGAGGTTTAGACATTGGTCAGTTAAAAATTTATGTTGTGCCACCACCCATGATAATGTCATTACAGAAATGGTACAATTTGAAACAGGAAAAGAGCTTAAAATGAAAATGCATTGAAGTACCTAAACAAAATATTGATATTAACATTATTTCTGAACTGTTGGTTCTTACAAAAGTTATTGATTTCGGTCTAAGTTGCAGTTTGGGATGTAATGTGGTGTTTGAATCTTTCCATTTCAGATTTGATAGATCTACTCTTACTGTTGGACAGTTACTGAGAGAGAAGCAAGGAGGCAGAGGTAAATTCAGCTCTTACTGTTGGACAGTTAGTGAGAGGGAAGCAGGGAGGAAGAGGTGAATAGAGCTCTTATTGTTGAACATTTACTGAGAGAGAAGCAAGGAGGCAGAGGTGAATAGAGCTCTTACTGTTGGACAGTTATTTAGAGAGAAGCAAGGAGGCAGAGGTAAATAGAGTTGTTACTGTTGGACAGTTATTGAGAGACAAGCAAGGAGGAAGAGGTGAATAGAGCTGTTACTGTTGGACAGTTACTGAGACAGAAGCAAGGAGGCAGAGGTGAATAGAGCTCTTACTGTTGGACAGTTAATGAGAAAGAAGCAAGGAGGGACAGCGAAAACAACGAAACTAGCGAAATTACAGGTATTAGTCTTGTAATCGCATTATCTCAAGAACAGTTTGAGATATGTACTTCAAATATAATGATAGTATGTATCACCATAGGAAGATGATCTTATCAGATTTTTGAGAATGTAGGTCAAAGGTCAAGAGTCACAGAGGTCAACTTGTGAAATTACAGGTTTTGAGCTCGTTATCGTGATGTCTCAAGAACCAATCGAGGTGTGAACTTTAAACTTGAGGATAGAATGTATTTCCATAGGAAGACGATCTGATTATATTTTGGAGTCGGTAGGTCAAAGTTCAAGGGTCACAGAGGTCACCTTATGAAATTCCATGTATTGAGTTCGTTATCGTGATATCTGAAGAACCACTTGAGATATAAACTTCCAACTTGAGGATAGAATGTATCATCATAGGAAGACGATCTGATTAGATTTTGGAGAAGCTAGGTCAAAGGTCAAGGGTCACAGAGGTCAACTTATGAAATTCCATGTGTAGAGCTCATCGCAATATCTCAAGACTCACTTGAGATATGAACTTCAAACTTATGAGGTCTTCATAGGAAGACATTTTTTTTGTAGCAATGAGGTCAAAAGTCGAGGTCATAGTGGTCAATTTCTGAAATTATTCATTTTAAGGGCGGAGTCATATAGGAGACGCAGTCACATTTGTTTTGTTAATGAGTATTTGGAAGGTTTGTGACAAGTAAATGATTTCTGTTAACAATGACCTTCAACTTACGACCTTCGAAATCATGAAAAACGTTTTCTACCGATACACCAAAAATATCATATTGCAAGCCATCATTAATACTTGATTATTTCCCGAATTCAAGCTTTTTTTGGTGATTCTGTATCATTTATGAAAACTTGGAAGTTTATGACATTTGCTCTGGCAACAATTGCCCTGCAGTCAATCCCAAATATTGATCGAATCACTAACTTAAGTCCTGGACTTATACTATACCTAACCTGGAGCAATTCTTGCCAGAGAAAATGTTGTGTTACTGATATATGACTGTCATAAGATTTTTGTTGGCAGTGACCTTGAATTTATAACCATCAAATTAATGAAAACACAACATTTTTGTATTGAAATCTTACTGCAAATGATTTAGTCCATGTATAAGTCACTAATCTCAAATATATACAGTATCGGATTAGAGGGTCGCTATTCATAATAGTAGAAGAGGGCCGCTATTCATAATGGAAGAAAAGGTTTGTGATTTACAGAAATAACAATAAAAAAGATGTTGAAATATAATTTTTATGCATAGGCTCTGATAGAAGCTGAAACTGCATTCTAGACTGTACACAACAAAAAATGTTATTTTAAACATTTACATGTAATTGTAAAGTGATCAGAGCTCAACCAAAAAAGAAGATATGTTATGTCATTATGTTACATCTCACCTCTTCTGCACCATGTACCATCATCACCCCATCCTGACTCCCACAAACACACCTATGAGTCTATCAGGGAAGTTACAATGCTATAATAATAAATGCAATACCTGTTCACTTATGCATAAAATATCAATCCCATAAACCACAAATTTCACTCGGCAAACCCAAACTCATCACATTTGATCCTAATTTTTTCATATAATCCTCAATTCCGTAAGCTCCAAAGGACTTTTCTCTCACAAAAAGGCCCATTCCTGTGCACCCTAATTTCCATACCCTTTACAAATATGAGCAGTGCTCATCCAAGCATGAATCATACATACACAGTTTTTCCCCCAAAACCATATATTTTTTATTTGGCAGCCTTTTCAAAAGTGTATATTCTTTTTTGAGATGCACTGTATATGTATTAAAATTGTGTATTTTTCTTTTTGTGATGTTTTACCCATATGTTTGTCTTCTGTTTTGTTTTTTGAAGACAGCTGACATCAGTTGACATCAAGATTTGTGGTCAAGGAGCAAAGTTTGTGGTGGGAGAGAGCAAGTTATTCCTGTGTAGGTATATTGGTAAGTGGGTCATTTCATCAGGTTGGGATGCAGAGGTGTGACATGGCATTGTATCATCAGAAGTATCACTTATTTTGATACAGTTATTTTACAGAAAAAGCACCTTCAATTGTGCAAGAAATTTACAAATATTCAAAATATACCCTTGTTTGTCGTCCGAGATATGATCAAAAACTTAGTGGAAGATGTAACATTACACCGCCGTAATGTTACGTCGTACTTTCACACACATTCAAGATATTCTGACATTTACAACATGAATTTGTCCAAATGATTTTGTTTACTAATGAGAGGGCATAAAAGTCAACACCAAAAAGATTAATTACGTTAGTTTGTCATCAAATAAACCAAATATTACCAGATATGCTGTTTGATGTGTAAATGTTCCATTCTGCATGCTGTAAATGTCTGAAAAACTTGAATGTGTATTCTATCATATCTTGGACAAGACACCTGCATATGTCTTAAAACTTTGTCCATTTCTTGGACACCCAAAGGTGCTTCTTCTATTAACTGTATCAAAAGTAGTGATACCTGTGATGATACAGAGCCATTTCACACCTTTAAGTCCTAGTGTGTTCCAACCTGATGAAATGACCCAAGTAGTTTTGTGCTCATTTAACATAAAGAAAAATAATTTATGCAAGAGGTCACCGACATCCAAATCAATAGGTGTTTCTTTTTCATGAGTTAGGATAGGTAGTTAAACTAATTTACATGTATGACCAGCAAACTGCATAATTGTACAGACAACCAAAGCATGAGCTCATTATAGCAAATTCTTTTCCCCTGGTCTTGGAGGAGGATGCTATGCAGATTCATGGTTTATAGATTTTGGTCCATTCTAAAAGAATGTTGCTTCACATTTGTTGTGCAATTAATAAAAAAAAGGAAATTGATATGTTCTTTTAAGTTGAAGGAAATCTGATCTAATTAATATTAATGCTAAATTGTTAAGTGAACTCTGACACATATCGTTTTTTTTTTGTTACGTTGAGTTAAAGGGGAAGTCTACTTTGAAGCAACAGTGGTTTTAATAAAAGCAGAATAGTCTACTCATCAATGTGACAATCGCCATTAGGATGTTATCTTCCCATCCACATTGACAATACTGCATGCCTCTATTTTGAATAATGACCATGTCTCAGTCGAAGGAAAATCATGCATATGTTTATTATTAGGCACGGAACCATTTCTATAGAATACCATTAGGAATAAGGTTTTTCCTTCATCATATAGGCGTGTAGTTACAGAAGTAATAATTTTTGAAAAGATACTGCCTCAGGCAATAGGCTCTAACATCTCAATTGTTTAGCTAAAATGTGTAATCTTGGTTTCATTGTATTGGAAAACTTAATTGTATGACGTACAATTATAGGTAGTATATACTAGTATGTAAAATGTGAAGTTATGAATTTACAGCTAATGGCCTCTTTATCGCGATATCTTAACCCTAAAAAGAATGGGCTATTTCGGAGGTGTTGAGGACTGGGGGGGGGGGGCATGATGGGCCCCCCCCCCCAAGATCTCGGCCATTGAATGTCTGATCATCGCGAAATTTTGCACGCATCTCCTTATTCACGTAAAGAACAAGATTGCATTGTTAATTTATTTGAAAATATTTGATTTTGTTATTAAAATTTTCATTGATAATTCAGTTTATAGTGATTATTTTGAGCAAATTTTTGTATGAAATGTTTCTGATTAAGCTTAGAAGCAATCATCCACTAACAAAACATTTGATTCAATTTCTATTATGTATTTTATTTTATGAATTTCTTATGTATTGTAATGTTTTCAATTTTTATTTATTTCTTTGGTTTTTTTATAGTTTTTTCCATCAGGATCAATATTGAGACAAAAAAGAGGATAATTGATTGTGAATTGGGAAATGATGGCTGATTTACTAAGCAAATGAGAGATACAGTTTCCCATTCGTTTTGTACACAAAATCAATAAATCCTCCAATTTTAGGCTGATATGAGGTCAGAAAAGGTCACATGACTTAGCAGTGGTACGCCCGATTTTCGCAAAGTTGGTGTCAAAAGATGCGTAAGATTTAAATGAAAAAACTCATGAAAGCGTGCTGCAAAATTTTCACGCGATTTCGGAGTATGTAAATCATTGGAAATGAAACATGATAGATTTGATGAGTTTGAGATGTACATGATCAAAACAGTTATGTGAATAGTGGGTAATTAGTTAACATTATAAACCACAATGTGATAGTGTTGGTATTAATCACTTTTAGTGATAGTTATTTATTTCTTACTTTTTAGTTTTTAGTTTTCTTTTGTTTTTCTTCTTTTCAATGTAGGACGTACGAGTGTTAGAGTTACTGGAAGGAGGTAGTGGTGTTTAAGTAAGTATTAGGGGACTTAAGTTGATCGTGTTTAGCATACGGCCATAGTAGTAACTTTTCAAAAAGGATTAATTATGTTATGCCATGTAGTGGCACTGATTTAATCTTACTTATGTTTTGACTTTAAGGTCAGTTGAGCTGATTCTATAGGAAGGCACAAAATGAACAATTGTCAAAGCAAATACTATGATTTTGATTGCACATGCAGCAATTTAAAAAAAATGAGATTACATTGTGAAATAAGCCTACAATGAGATCAAATAAATCTGTTGGCATATTGGGTGAAAAAGTTTTAAACCATGGGATTGTTTAAGGCCAAAATTTGGATGAGTCATTCATTGGAAACCTCCATGTTGTGTTGAGATCATGGGTCAATTATGTAGGTCAAAGTTTAAATTAGGTCAAATGTTATGGCATACCTGCAAGACTAAAGAATAAAAAACATTTTACACATTGAAAAACCTTATTTGTCAAACCTGTATTGCACATTCTGTGTATACCTCTGTCCGAATAGGGGAAAGTGGTTAGACTATTGTGACAATTAACCTTGTAGCTTTCATATCCTGTCCAAAATGATTTTTACTAAAAGGATTACTTGGTATTCTGCTATTAGCCATAATGGCTGGAATTCACAAAGGTGGTTTAGATTTAGACCACGGTTAATGCTTTTTATGGCTATATTACATTGCACTGTTTACATTTTTAATGTGCAATAGTACCTGTGTTTTCAAGATCTTCACACTTCGTACAAAAATAAGGAAGAATAGTTTTTGGTGTTATATATCAAGGTTATGTTTACATAGACATTTTCTGCTTGACAAGTCAAATAATTATATTGAGGGCTACGGCAATACTGTGGTTCATGGGAAGAAGGAGGCATACCAGTAGACTGCACACAGTCTAATTAAATGAAACATGTCTCAGCCATCATATTAAGCCCATCAATTGTAGACTCTTCCATTGGGTGTTGCCAAAATTTGAATAGAACCCATCAAACATGTAAGGAGTTGGTCAAGATGAAAAAAAAGGGGGGGGGGTGGTTGTTAAACACATAGTACAAACATGCACAAATGTCTTGATTTTAGTCTAATGCAATACATATTGTACATGTGACCTTGCCTAAGTTGAACTTGGATAAGTCAAAACTTGCCAAAGTCGAAGGTCTACACAGAACCCAACCTGTTTTGTCCTATTGTTTTATGACCCCTCAGTCTCTCAGAAAGCTATTTTATGGATCCCAAGACATTTGAGTTACTGTATGTAAGGTTGATTATGTATTCAATTTTCTGTCTCTGTTCTTTTGGCAGGTACTGGTTGCTTTGGAAGGCAATTTGTGTTTGTATTGTCAAATCATCTTCATTTTTCAAAACATTACATACCATACCATTCCATCTTCACCCTCAGAACTCGTGATCTTGAGTTTTTGAGAAAAGCAGTACTCATTCAGAAGTTCATTTGAAGTTTCATCCAGAATCCCATTCCCATTCCAGATATCATATTCAAATCATTACATACCATACCATACCATTCCATCTTCACCCTCGGAACTCGCTATCTGAGTTTTTGAGAAAAGCAGTACTCATTCAGAAGTTCATTTGAAATTTCATCCAGAATCCCATCCTAAAGTCTGTTTATACACAATTCACGACAATAGCCCTAGCACTTATAAGCTAGGTGTGAGTCAATTCGAATTGTGGTACACAGCAATTCTCAAGTCTGTTTATACACAATTCACGACAATAGCCCTAGCACTTATAAGCTAGGTGTGAGTCAATTCGAATTGTGGTACACAGCATATCAATATCTGAATATATCTGAATATACTTATCTGAATATACTTATCTGAATATATCTGAATATACTTACCTACTTACCTACTTACATACTTACCTACTTATATCTTATACCTTACATCTTATACCTTATACTTGATACTTTATCCTTGATCCTAAAGTCTGTTTACTCTGTCTACTCAATCTGAATCTTCATTATCTTACTCTATCTACTCAATCTGAATCTTCATTATCTTACTCTGTCTTACTGAAATTCAATCTTGATCTTACTCTGTCTTTCTGAAATTGAATCTTCAATTTCTGTGTTGTGTTGCTCAAACTGTGTGAAATTGTGTGAAAACAAGAAAATAAGATACGAAGCGAGATTTGACAAGAGTGTTAATAAACAATAAAGAGAAGAAAATTTCTTTTTGAGTTGATTTTTAGTGAAAGAAATAAAACTGACTGGTTGATTGCTTGTTTAAGATATTGGAGAAAATTGTTAGTGTATAGAGAAAAAAAAGTGAATTGATTGAATAACTGAATTGTTAGAAATTGATTGTGAGAGATAGAGATATTTTTGATTGGTTGATTGAGTGATTTGATAAAAAGTGAAATTCGTGAATATTACCTTTAGCATATAAGGTTGAATATAGAAACGTAACTTTAAGACCAACAAGAGTGTTAATAAACAATAAATAAAAGAAAATTTCTTTTTTAAGTTGATTTTTAGTGAAAGAAATAAAGTTGACTGGTTGATTGCTTGTTTAAGATATTGGAGAAAATTGTTAGTGTACAGAGAAAAAAAAGTGAATTGATTGATAAAGAAAGAAATTTGTGTCTGGATATAGGCTCCTGTAGTGTTCATAGCTTTAGTATTATAAGTAAGCCGATTGCAGAGAGGTTGAGAACGAACATTGTATCAGGATATATATATAGTTTTATAAATATTAATCGGCTTGATTGATTAGAAAGATAATAAGAAAAATATTTAAATTGGGATATAAAGTGGACTTTTTTTACACAGAGTTTTAATACAGGTTGTTAATAGAGCGCCATCACAAGGCAATAATTAAGAGAAATTCCGTCACGATCAATACCTTCTAGATTAATATTTAACACAATTGCTGAAGAGCGCCATCTTTTGTCGAAAGCTATATATTTTTCTAGGCATTAATTTTCATTTTTGTTAAAAGGAAATAATTCCAAGAAGGAATACAGTATCGACAAGATATTGCATTGTCTATTATACAAAATACAACATACATTGACCTATAATCCATACATTTAACTTTAAAAAATAAAGAAATCCCCCCCAAAAGCAAACACTTTGAACAGCAAATCAAAGACCATTATATAAGGCAATTTGAGGTGATCAAGACATTACAGCTCGAATAGAAGGCTTCCTCTAAAGGAGTTTTTATCTTGAAACAAAAACATAATAGTCTGTAGTTCAGGCTTTGATATACACTGAATTTCGGTAAAGATTTTGAATTGATATTGACAACAGTGATACTTCAAATTACAATTGTGCATCATAATTTGAAGACAGATACACTGTATAAGATAATTTGGAACGGAAAACCTTGTCTTGGCAAAGAAGCAAAAGGGCAGTTGTAATCTTATAGTCCAAAGCTTTGTACGAGATATTTTGTGATGGAGGAATACACTGATACATGTTGTGTTTGTAAGAATTTAATTGTAGAGGATGAGATTACTGTAACTTGCAAGTCATGTACTGGTCCCTATCATGTTACTTGTATGGGTTTTCCATGTAAGGAGACAATCAATGACACAAATGATAGAAGATTGATAGACACTACATTCAAGACAGTTGTTGATGAAATCTTAGATGTACTGTCTACTTGTGCACCGCTGATGAATTCAGAGTTTGATGCATGCTGCATATGTGAAAGTGAGATCGGAAATGAAATAAGTTCAATTTGTGAGTTTTGCAATAGTCATTTTCATGTTTCATGTATGCAACTGCCCTGTGAAGACAAACTGAATGATAGGAGATTGATTTGGATTTGTTCTTTGTGTGGAAATAACAACATGGCTCATCGCATGTTTGATCAAGTATGTATCCCTTCTCATTTCAATAGATACGAACTTCTTGGTGATCATGATGAACACTGTCACTTGGATTTGAACCAATCAAGGACCCTATCAAGTACGACCAACAAAAGAAAATGTGGCAGATCAAAGAAGAGGTATGGTAAAAAGGGAAACAAAACCAATCGATTGAGAGGAACACAACATCATATAACTGACAGGAAAACAAATGAGTCTGATAGACATAATCCTTTGGCTATGGAAAATCCATCCCAAATAGAACACGAAGAGATGCAAAATGAAAAATTTGAGGATGACTGGGTAATTGTGAAATCAAGGAAGACGAAATGGGTGGAGAAACTAAAATCAAGAAAATTGTATCCCAAATCAATAGATGATCATCAAACAGACAGGAAAATCAGAAGAAAATCAGTGAATGGTGTAGTCTTGAAACCAGGTGTGACTTACATTGGCAAAGCAATAAAGACATTCTATGAAAGTCATGAGAAAAAAAATGGAAACCGAAAGAAAAATGTATGTAAGGAAAACAAGAATGTGAAAAGAGAAGATGTCAGTTTGCAGTCTTATGTAGAAACTTTTTTGGCTATATATGCATACAGTGTGCAATCCCCATGTTCAATGAAATTGTACAGTGAGACCTGTGTGCAAATTGAAACGATGCAGACACGATCTTGGGCTGACGTAGCAGGTTATTTGCCATCTCAATCAAGAACAGATTCATGTGTTGATATTCATGCCTGCACTCGTAATCTTTTTGAACAGATCAAGGATTTCCGAATGTACAAAGTTCATGCTGGTGGCAAGAAAAAAGAAGCAAAGAACAAGAAAGGTCGAGCAAGGAACAAAAAAGGTCAGTCTTCCAAAGCCGGGAAAAAAGGCACTGATGGAAATCACTCTTCTGATAAATCAGAGATTAGATTTGACAAAGATGAAGGAATAGAATTAGCAGTAAAGAATGAGAAGCTGGATACAAAGAAATCTATGAATGCAAGTGACCAAGGACTTGATCCAAATACATGTAAAAATGATGAACACTCAGACCAGCATATTTGCAATATGAAAGACAACAAAGGTTCAGATGGAGTTGTGCAGGACGATTCAAAGAATAATCTGTTGAAATCAAATTTTGATGAAAATAGGGAAATTGAAACGGACGATGATAGTGGCAGTGATGTTCATATACCAGTGAAACGTTCGTGTGCAAGAAATTGTATAGAATCTGATAGTGATACAGACACAAGTCCTGGATGTGATTTATTCGATAGAAGTGTTTTACCAGAACGCAATATGCCTTTGAATGTTTGTGATAGACCAAAAGATATGCCCAGAAATGAACCAGTAGACAATGTCTGTGAATCGGTATTGGAAAATGATGATATGATGAAAAATGATTTTTCAGATGTTTCAGATGGTGTACAAGAAGATGCAGTGTTTGACAATGACCTGGAGAATAGAAGCTTTGATACAGTAAAAGATGGTACAGACAATGATACTGATATGTCATTTAATGATCATGCTCATTCAAGGAATCCTTTAGAATCTTCTTCAGATTCAAATATCAAAGATGAAGACATTGAAAAGGCAATAGATGCTAATATGTACACATGTACTGATGAAACAGAAGTTGAATTTGTAGCAGATCTTGGATTACGTGATAGACCAGATAAAGATTTCAAATTTGTACCCCTCCAGAATAATGACAAACAGAACATTTGTTCAAAACTGAATATCAGATATATAGGCAAAGGCTGTGATTCAAGGTTAGATAGAAATAGCTGTATTGGAGTTCCTTTACAGAGTAAACAAATTACTGGTGATGGCAATTGTTTCTTTCGTGCAATTTCCTATGTAATTTCTGGAACTGAGCGTAATCATGCAATTTTAAGAAATGCCACTGTGAAACATTTATTGCAAACCAAGGACATGTTTAGTAATACATTGAGGCAAGAATATAGAACAGTCAGAGAATATGTTTTGAAACGTAGAATAAAGGAAGACGGAACGTGGGCTACAGACACTGAAATTAGCGCTTTAGCAAATTTAATCGATACTGATATTTATTCATACAATGACCAAGTACCATGTTGGCAATCGTTCTCTGCAAAGAAACCTGGAAGAATAAATATTGTAACATCTGATAAGGGAATTTATATACTGTACACAGGAAATGTTCATTTTAATGTTGTTGAATCTGTAGATTTTGTCAATTTCAATTCATTGGAACAGACAAGAACAACTAAAGAAGATAGAACGTCAAAGAGAACTTTGCCATGTCCATCAATTCAGGCTGATGTTAAAATAAAGCATGTGTTGAAGAAGTGTAGATCCAAGTCGCAGATAGAGGAAGAAATTGATGAAGTAGTGGATAAGTCTCCTGAAACATTTCAAAACCATGTTGATCCAAAGGGAAAAAAACGTAGGCTCACGTTGGAGACTGGTACGATAAATCACGATGAGAGGAAAGGTACTGCAAATCTTTTGGACATGACATATGAACAGTGTGCAAGTAATCAGTCTGAATCAGTCGTTCACAACGAACGTAACACCAAGGACGAAACCCTTGAAAGTGATCACAAAGACAAATGCACGAGAGTCGATACACAAATAACGCTTGTTGCCCAAGGGACATTCAATCAAGGTGATACAAGATTTGGTGACTTAAGTGGAAAGCAGTGTGTTACCAATTCACTTTCTGCACTGTTGTATAGCAAGGTAAAAAATGCCAATGATTGGAAAAGTACAGATCTAGACCGGATTTTGAATAACGGTAATGAATTATACTGTTACATACGGCGATCCACTTCACTCGACAACCAATACTTATTGATATCTGATCTATTTGAATATTTGGATGCGTACAATGAATTGTTTAACATAGTATGCCGTGAACCAGTCACTGGATTGTTAGATGGAGATGAATTGATATTGGCCCAGTCTCTTTCGATGACATTGAAGCAAGCACTCGAAAAAGAACTCTGTACTGATTCTGATGCATGTTTTGTGACATTTGCTAGAAGTACTTTCATTGTATTATCTGGTCAAGATGGTTTCTTTATATTTGATTCACATTCCAGAAGCAGTCGAGGTTTCCTGAGTTGTAACGGACACAGTGTTGTACTTCGTACTCAAAGCTGGCAAGGTGTGTACAAGCATTGCATGAGGTTAGCAAAATCAATGGGATGCCCCCTGCACACCGAATATGAAGTAACTAGTGTATGTGCTAAAGCAACTTCCGGTAAGAATGAAACCTTGAAAAGCTATCCACAGTTACAGGATTTTGTTTGTAATCCAATTCCTTTGTCAAATACGCACAGTGAGAGTCAGTCTGGAAGCTCTGGATGTTCCATACATTATGAAAGCTTTGATGAAGTTCAAATATTGGAAGAGAGTGTTTCCCCACAAAAGATGATTGATAACCCAAATGTATTTCTCTTCCCTGAAAAAGTAAATGAAACAATCATTCATGATGTACATTATAACGGTCAGCAATTAAAACTGAAGAGTGTGACAATTGGCATAACCAAATTAAATGAATCACAGCTAAATAATAGTTGTCTTCTGAAAAGAAATGACTCTATAAAAACAGAAAATGAACAAAAAGGAGACTCCAACAATTGTACTAAACGTGAAAATGACTCTGATAAATTGAATTTAGTGAACAAAGTTCAGAATTCCAACTCTATCTTAAGCAGAAAACGAAAATGGAGTAACCTCGAAAGTGATGCGAAAGTTGATGTTGACCTTGGCAAGGAAATTCGAAAAACCAAATTGGTGAAAATGAATGAGAACGACAGCTTAAAAATTGATGCCTGCGAATGTGCTAATAGTAATGACGAATTAATAATAATTGGAGAAGTTGATGTTAGAAATGTTGACCATGGAGAAAAAAAACGTAAACACAGACAAAGTTCTAATCAAAGAAGGAAGCGCAGTAGACAGCGAATGAGAGAAAAACGAGCCTTGAACAAAGATGAAATCATTAAGAAAAAGAAAAAGTGTTTTCACAATGAGCAAATGAGAAAAATGAAAATTGCGATTAAAATGAAAAATAAATATCAAAATGATTTAACCTACAAAATGGAAAAAATAAATGAAGTAAAACAAAGACAAAAAGAGATTTACAACACTGATTTATCACACAAATTAAAACAAGGAGCGTATGTCAAACAAAGGCAAAAAAAAATGTATAAAGAGGATTCAAATTTTAGAAAAATACAGCTAAATATTATGAAAACCAAATATCGTTCTGATTTACATTATAAAAAGGAAATTTTGTATAGAAATAAACAAAAATATTTGAGAAATGAAGGATTCAAAGAAAATGTTAAAACGGCTATGAGGACTAAAATGAAAAATAAATATTGGAATGATGAACAATTTAAACAAATGCATAAAAGCAAAATAAGAAGTAAATACCAGCATGATGAACAATTTAAACGAATGCACAGAAGTAAAATAAGAAGTAAATACCAGCATGATGGACAATTCAGGGAAAAACAACAAGATACCATGAAAAAACGAATAAAGGAATTATATCGCAATGATAAAAATTTCAAAGAAAAACAACGAGATACCATGAAAAAACGAATAAAGGAATTATATTGCAATGATAAAAATTTCAAGGAGAAACAACGAGATACCATGAAAAAACGAATAAAGGAATTATATCGCAATGATAAAAATTTCACAAAAAACAACGAGATACCATGAAAAAACGAATAAAGGAATTATATCGCAATGATAACAATTTTAAGGAAAAACAACGAAATACCATGAAAAAACAAATGAAGGAATTATATCGTAACGATCAACAATTCAAACATACAAAAAAGGCAAATATGAAAACATTGTCCAAAATTAGATATAAAGGCAAACAATATAAGGAAAAGAAATTGATGAGCTTAAAAATGAAATATAAAAGAATTGAAAAATATAGGCAAAATGTAATAAAACAAAATCGAAAAAGGTCTGTACTTCGAACAGTAAAATTGTCCGAGTTTGATATTGTACTTGAAGAATTTAGAAAGATAATTTCTCATGGCCCAGAATATGTGTGCTGTGTATGCTTAAAACTTCTCTTTGAGAACCAAGTATTGAAATGTAAAAAGAGTAATTATAAAATTCAGACATGCATAAGTGAAGAATATTTGCATGTTTGCAATTCAGAATGCCGGTCAAAATGTTTAATAGGCCAGTCAGCCAGATCGTCACTTTGGATATGCTTCACCTGTCATAGAAAACTGAAAGCTGAAAAAGTACCTGCAGAAGCAAATATGAACAATTTACAACTACATGAAGTTCCAGAAGAACTTGCCATTCTGAACAATTTAGAACAGCATTTGATTGCATTGAATATCCCTTTCATGAAGTTAATGGCCTTGCCTAAAGGTGGTCAAAATGGAGTCCATGGCCCAGTTGTGTGCGTGCCTTCAAACACTTATGAAACGGTAGATATGTTGCCAAGACCACAGACTGAAGATCAATTGATCCGTGTTAAACTCAAACGAAAATTGTCGTACAAAAGCTATTATGAGTACAAATTTGTAGATAAATCTAACTTGCTTAATGCTCTGCAGTATTTAAAAGCAAATAATAAGTGGTATTTTGATGTTACAGTAAATGATAAATGGGAAAACTCACTTGAACGAAATGAAAAAGATAATGAAAAGGAAGAAGCAGTGGAAGTTGGTGGTAAAGCTCGTTTAGCAAAATATTGGAAGGAAATGGAAGAACAAATTGATTACATTTTGTCCAAAGACAAAAATGCTAATGAAAACATGCAAGACAACAGTAAACTACACAAAAAAACAGATGACAATGACACTGAAGACGATATGGAAGAACGATTACGCGGTATTCAGTTAGACTCGTGTCTCCAGCCAGTAGATATTGGACAGGAAATATTAGATCAGTATTTTGAAGACATAATATGTTGTGCTCCTTGTGAAGGAAGAAGCCCTGTATCAATTCTACAAGATGAAAGCAATGAGGCCAAATGTTTCCCAGTATTATTTCCTAAAGGTCAACCAACATTCCATGATAGAAGAGATGAAAAAATAACATTGGGACGTTATCTGCACAACCGGTTGATGCACGTGGACAACAGATTTGCTCAGAATACAGATTACATCTTTTATGCACAATATATTTATGAAATTCAATAGGTTATATCACAAGTTTCTATCGCATTAAGGCAAAGTCCAAACAAAAAAGATGATTCATCTTCAATAACTGCCTCAGATTTGAAAGATGCAGAGAAAGTTAAAAAATTACTAAAATCAGACAAGGGCTATAAATTTTTAAAGCAAATTCGTGGAACACCTCCATTCTGGCAAAAGACACAAAAAGATGTTCTCGCAATGGTAAGACAGCTTGGAAAGCCCACATGGTTTGCTTCTTTCTCATCTGCCGATATGAGATGGCCAGAATTAATGAATACATTGCTTAGACAAAAAGGAGACACCAGGGAATCGAGTGAATTAGACTATACAGAAAAATGTAATCTTTTAAGATCAAATCCAGTAACAGTTGCCAGAATGTTTGATAAAAGATTTCACACTTTTATGAAGAAAGTTATTTTATCTCCCGCTGCACCGATTGGTAAAGTAGTTGATTCATTTTGGAGAGTAGAGTATCAAGCTCGTGGTTCCCCTCACATTCATGCCTTGTTCTGGGTTCAAAATGCTCCACAGTTGGGTATCGATAATGATGATGATGTCGTACAATTCGTAGATAAATACATTTCTTGCCAGAAACAAGATGAAAAGGAAGATCAAGAACTACATGAAATAGTAAGCAAGGTCCAACAACACAGTAAAAAACATTCTAAATCTTGCACAAAAACAGGGAAGGCGTGTAGATTTAATTTCCCGAGACCACCATCTGGAAAAACATTCATTGTAACACCCGTTGAAGAGATTCCAGCTAAAGATTGTGGGAAAGTGCAAAATAAGGAAAATGACAATGATCAAGTTAAAGCTTCTGAAAAGACTAAAGATGATGCAGAGAAATTGTTGAATTCAGTTAAAGATGCATTATCCAATGGAATCGAGTACAACAGTGTAAACCATCTCTTTGAAAAGCTTGGCATTACACAAAATCAATTTGAGAATGCACATAATGAATTAGCATCACAACAAAGTATAATCATCAAAAGAGAAATACAAGATGTATGGGTAAATCAGTTTAATCCAAGTCTACTAAGAAGCTGGAATGCCAACATGGATTTGCAGTTTGTAACAAATGTATTTGCATGCGTGGCTTATATTGTATCCTACATGTCAAAAGCTGAACGAGAAATCGGATTGCTATTGAGTCATACACTATCAGAAATTAAAGAGGGAAATGATAACGCAAAGGAAAGCATGAAAAAACTTGGCCAGGTGTACATGCAAAATCGTGAAGTGTCTGCTCAAGAAAGCGTCTATCGTGTTTGCAGTCTCAGATTGAAAGAATGTTCTAGGAAAGTGGAATTTATTCCTGTTGGACCCAACCCTGTCAGAATGAGTTTACCATTAAGCGTTTTAAAAAGCAGACCAGATAACGATAATGATGATGATGAGAATGTTTGGATGCCTAGCAAGCTTGACAGATACAAAGCTCGACCTAGAAACACAGAATTCAGTGATATGTGTCTTGCAACGTTTTGTTCTCAGTACAGAATCTTAACTGCATCCCAAACGCCAAGTACAAGAAGTAAAAATGTCTTTAAATTAGATAACGATCTGGGGTATATTCAGAAGCGTACTCGTACGGAAGATGCAGTTGTAAGATATCCCCGATTCTCACCCATCATCTCACCAGAAAAATATTATTTGAGCATTTTGCAACTCTTTCTGCCATATTTTGAAGATGGACAATTAAAGCCGCCAACATTTGAAACACATGAAGAGTTCTACGAGACAGGTTCTGTGAAAATATGTGGACGTGAATTGGAGAAAGTCTGGTCAATTGTCTGTACTAACCGAAAGAAATTTGAAATGAATGCCGATGCAATTGATCATGCACAGGAGCAGCTTGACAAATTTGGTCCACACGAAGATGCATGGGGTCTTTTATGTCCGGAAAAGGAAGTAGAGCGACTTGAACATCCCAAAGAAAATGTAGATGTCGAAGACTGTGATGGAGATCTTGATATCCCTGATTTAAAGAATGAACCGAAAAAAGAGGACTATAGCATCGAACTACGTTCTGTAAAAATTTCCAAACAAGATGGACATTCTTTGATGAGGTCTTTGAATGAGAAGCAACAGTGTGTTTTTTACAAAATACGACAGTGGTGTTTAGATAGAGTAAATGGAAAATCGGTCGAACCGTTTCATATGTTTCTAACTGGAGGTGCTGGCACTGGAAAGAGTCATTTGATCAAATGTCTTTACTATGAAGCAACACGTATACTAGCCCGAATGTTGCCACATCCTGATGATGTCTCAGTATTGAAAATGGCTCCAACCGGAGTAGCTGCATACAATATCAATGGCCATACTATACATAGTATTCTTTCTATTCCGATCAATGCACAAGTACTGTATCAACCGCTGAGTGATGAGAAAATAAGTGTCCTTCGAAATAAGCTGGCTGAATTGCAAATTTTAATCATAGATGAAGTATCAATGGTAGATCAAAAGTTAATGTCTTACATTCACGGCCGCCTACGACAAATAAAACAATCACGCGATCAAACTGCTTTTGCTGGTGTTTCAGTTATTGCTGTGGGAGACATGTATCAGTTACCTCCAGTCTTAGGAACTCCTTTGTATAAAGACACACTCAATGGTGCATTGTGGAATGCTAATTTCAAGAAAGTAGAACTTGAAGACATTATGAGACAAAAAGACGATACCCAATTCGCTCTTCTCTTAAATAGATTACGTGTAAAACAAGGTGATGAGATTCTCTGTGATGAAGACCTAGCAATGCTCAAGTCCTGTGAGACTGGTGAAGAATGTGAAAATGCTCTGCATATCTATGCATGTAACAAGGAAGTAGATGCTTGGAACAAGAAATTATTGCATACAAAATGTGGAGATGTGATATGCGTAAAAGCACAAGACATGGACAAAGATGTTAAAAAGGGAAATCAAATACGGGAAAAACCTTATACAAAGATGAAAACCCAGTTGCCTCCTTATCTGTGGATTGCAGTTAATGCTAGAGTGATGTTGCTCAAAAACATTGATGTTAGTAAAGGCCTGACAAATGGATGTTTCGGAAATGTAACAGAAATAATAACGGATCATACAAATTTGAATCCAGTTTGCATCAAAGTTAATTTTGAGAAGGCCGATATTGGTATTCATTCAATCGAAATGTCTCAAGAATCCATTGGCAAGAAATATGTGAGAAAACAATTTCCACTTAAGCTTGCTTATGCTTGCACAATTCATAAAGTACAAGGTTCGACATTAGACAAAGCTGTTGTATCATTAAAAGATGTATTTCAATCTGGACAGGCATATGTTGGGCTTAGTCGCGTTACTTCGTTATCTGGACTTGTGATAGAACATTTCGATCCTAAACGTATATATTGTAATCCAGAAATTAAAGAATGCATTGAGATTATGAAGCCGTTTATCGAGAATGAAACTTCTGAAGATATTCACGATTATAACTTTTCTTTGGTAATGCAAAATGTACAAGGATTAAAACAGCATTTTACTGATTTCAAATCCCAGTGCCAATTTGTGAATGTAGATTGTATTTGCTTGACCGAAACATGGATTAATGATGATGATCTCTGTGACGTTATTTTAGATAACTTTCGATTTTATCATCAGCCACGACATCTGTCATACTGTAATTCTGGAGTTGGAAATGTACTCAAAGAACAATCGCACGGAGGTGTTGGAATGTATATCAAGAATACATATTCAAGTAGATTAGACATATCTGTCGACAACTTAGAGTTTATCGCAATTCTTGTCACCAAACCAGTTTCTGTTGTGATTTCAGTTGTTTATCGACCTCCATCATATAGTATCAAATCATTCTGCGAATCATTAGACAATTTGCTAGATGCATTACACAAAAGAAGCATTAGATGTATTGTGATGGGAGATTTTAATGAGGATTTGTTTAAAGGTTCTTCACAGGTAAACAAGCTAATATGTAATAAAGGTTACAAACAGCATGTTGTTAATGCTACTACTGAGAAGGGAACAATGATAGATCATGTGTACAGCAAAGGACTAGATTTATTGGAAACAGAGGTCATCCCTACATATTATAGTTACCACGAAGCTGTTAAGATTGCATTTTGATATTTATTGTAAAACGAGAGTGATAACAAGAGTAAATTTCATAATTTCTTGCGAAATAACATTTTTATTTATCGTGTTTTTATTCTTACAAAAATGAATATGAGTAAATTACGTGGAATCTTTAAAAGGCATAATAGTTGTGTATACTTTTTGGATTGCCTTACACTTATCAATGACACCATCTGCGATGGACATCACATTGAAAGCATGATGTAAACTTGGTAAAACAATTTTCTCAGTTGGTTTTTCAAAAATTTGTTTAAATATGACATTACTATTTTCATCAAACTGGTAACTCCCACAAAAGGACGTCTAATAAGGCAAGGGTAAACTTTAGAGAAATTGTATTCCGTACTAAGTTATCAAATAGGTGCAACATGCTCACAATTCTGTATCAAATTTTTGGAGTAATGCAGTGTGCATCTCGTTCTTCTTTAAGGTGATGTGTGTGATTTGTATGTTGTCAATCCTTGCCTTTTACCCCACAGTAACTTTAAATTTACTGGCATCATGACATATACATGTATTTTCAAATTTTAGATAGCAATAAAAAAGAGTGGTACACATTAATATATTGGATTCATAAACAAATAAAAAGATAATAAATTCATGTGTTTTTTTCCCAGGATAAAGATAATAAACCTGATCAGAATTTGAAAGTTGGAACATTCTACATGTATGAATTTGCACAGTGCTCCTTCCCGACTGGGTTGGAGTAGGAGACGGGGTGGAAACCATTCAACTCTGAGGAAGACATTCAACTCAGAGTTCAAGCTTGCATGACAAGGAGACATGCAAAGATAAGTAAAGACAAAATATATTATTATAGTTCTGGAATATCCAAATGGGAAGGTTCCTGATTATAAATAAATGTTATCATTGGGATGCAATGCTGAATAATCTGTGAAAGACGAATTGTTTGCTAGTGATATGTAGGATGTTTGTTGAGAAAAGTATTCACTATGATTTCAATTATGTTGTACAGTCACATATATATATATATATTAAAGTATTGGATTCATAAATAAATAACAAGATGATCAATTCATGGTTTTTCTTCCCAGGAAAATGATTGTAAACCTGATCAGAATTTCAAAGTTGGAACATTCTACATGTATGAATTTGCAAAGTGCTCCTTCCTGACTGGGTTGGAATGGGAGACGGGGTGGAAACCATTACTCTGAGGAAGACATTCAACTCAGAGTCAAATGCGTTCATAAATAAGGTTAACATTTTTAAGAAAGAAAAATTCAATACTGTTCATATTCCTAATCTTCAAATGATTTTTTTTAATTTCACTTCTTCAGATAACTTCTTCAGATGACTGCAAAGGGCAACATTGCAAAGCTCATTTCTACAACCCTAGTCACCAATGACAGTGCACCACCATATCCCTTTGCTCACCAGTTTAAACAAACTACCGCCCTCGAGTCAGAAGGCTGTCCTCATCGTCCAACACACAGCAGTAACATCACCCCAGGACTTCAGCCCTCCGGTGATACCTGGTTCAGCGAAGACTAGGCCTTGGGGAATGTTTACGGCTCTGTCATCATAACAGCATTGTGGCAGAACACCAGCATATACATGTAATGTATCGAGACCTTCACAGGGTAAGGAAAGATTGCCAAACTAAAATGTTTGAAAAAGCCTAACCCGGCCTACTGTACTGAGTTATTTCAAGCTCCTCTAGATAGATGGCTGACCTCGGCCACTACACTGTTGATTCCCACAAAATTGGCACACCTGGAGTAAATTGGCAATTCTATGACATATCTTTTTGCTTTGAAAATGTTACATTGGGGTTGCATAGACAGAACAATTTTTATGTCAAATGCGTTCATTAATAAGGTTAACACTTTTAAGAAAACAAAATTCAGTACTGTTCATATTCCTAATCTTCGAATGATTTTTGTTTATTCACTTCTTTAGATAACTTCTTCAGATGACTGCAAAGCGCAACGTTGCAAAGCTCATTTCTACAACCCTAATCACCAATGACAGTGCACCACCATATCCCTTTTCTCACCAGTTCAAACAAACTACCGCCCTCGAGTCAGAAGGCTGTCCTCATCGTCCAACACACAGCAGTAACATCACCCCAGTACTTCAGCCCTCCGGTGATATCATCCTGTCTTTAGATAAGGGACGACTGCTCTACCCTCCTTACTTGTACAGCAGTTCAGCATTTCTTGTCTACTGGATCAGACACCCCATCTGCAGTCCCACTGCAATCGTTTCAGTCAGGACTGACACTGGCGCAGTCAGCTTCTTCAAACGTGATGGCCGGTCCCAGACCCTGCCATTCCTACGTCGCAAAGATTTGGCGTCATCCTGGTCAGCAATCCTGCCTTTGTCAACAATCATGACGATAACTATGCCTAGCCTCTTGACCAAGACTTTTTGAATGCCACTCTGTATGGCTCAGCATACTTTTTTTTTCTTTATTCATACTAACATGTGTTCATGTCCATTTTTCCACCTCTGATTCTTACATTTATTTTCTGATACCATGTTTCTGTGTGATTTTAGTCTTATTTTTACTGGTATAATGTAAACATATACTTTTGTTCCACACAAGATATTTTTTGGATTTTGTGTCCACTTCCATGTAACTACATGTATTTTTATACGATAGTTTTTGTTTGTGATGGTTCAATTCCTTTTACGCTCTCATCCCTTTCTTGTTGTATCATATTTCAGGTGATAGCATGGAACAGCTTGTGGAAAGTCATATTGTGATTAGAGAAAGTTTTCTTTTTTTGTTTCACCTAAATACTTATGTTTTCTGCAAAGAGGAATTTCATTTTTGGTTAGTAATGTTTTCTATTTTGCGAACATCTGATCTTGGTTTTTAACACATTCCTAGGTGTGCCATTTACACTGCTATTGTCATCATAGTTTTGTGACAGATCAGAACTCAATTGTTTAATCAAGGCTTCCAAATATATTCATTTTTTATGATTATAATGTCAGTTTATTTGCAGCATTTACCCCATATATAGTGGTAACGTACGATCAACTGTCAATTTCTACTGCATTCATTATACATAGCAGTGTGTTGCTCGTTGTAACAAAAAGGTATAGGGCTGTTAGGGATTATCCATAATATACATTGTTTTTAGTTTTATTGTGTATATCTGAGCTTATATTTCACTTGCTATGTAGGGTGCCTATCATAAAGTCAGTAAGTATCTCTGTTTATGTACCTGTGTTATATATGTATTCCATATCTGTTATATATATATACATGTTAGAATGCGCTTTTCAGGGATTTGAACAAGGCTTCTTTTTTTTAGTATGTGCTTTTATTTAGTATATCAAATTTTATTGGATATGCTGTTTTTAAATTTATTTCTTTTAAAATGTGTTTGAAGATGATAGGCGATTACCATTTGTAATATTGCATTGCTGTTGTTTTTTACATAGCCAAGGAAGTAGCGTGATGTTAAGTTTGGTGCAGAATGTCATTTACATGCATGTAGATAGGTCTATGCAATTTAACTTTGGTTTAATAAGCTTTGTTTAGTGTTTTGAACATGATTTTAACAATTAATAGACCTGTTTACTAATGTACTTCATTTCAAGTTTCTCTCTATAGTACATGGTAGGGGTGAAACAAGAATACAAAGGTTAAGAGGAAAAGTTAAAGAAGATTAGAAAACACTGTGAGACATAATAGAGGGAAAACAAGAGCCAGAGGCGTGAAAGGGAGAGGGTCCCCCCCCCCCCCCACTCCGTGAACAGAGGGATACCATGCGTGTTGCCAAAATGTCCAGTAAAGGGGTACCTGTCACGTACCAAAGTCCGGCTCGTATTGACTTTACACACCGGACTTAGGGGGGTGTTTTCAAAAGGAGGGAACATGCATTATGCGTACCCTAAATAACACTGAGTGAGGGGGGAGGGAGAGGGTGAGAGAGTATTAAAAAAAGAGAAGGGCAGAGATAGAGACATCGCAAGAGAGGAAGAGGGAGGCAAGGAAGAAGTGACACAGAGAGGGGGAGGGTGAAGAGTAAAGAGAGAGAGAGAGGGATGCAGAGACAAAGCAAGAGAGAGGGGCAAAACAAGAAAGGAGAAGGGGAACATGGCAATAGAGAGGAGAAAGAGATACAATTGATAACGAGGCACTCAATACTTCTAGCATAAATAGATTTGAATATTTAGTATACAGTACGTTCCAGAAAAAACGAAAGCGAGAACTATCGATGTTTTTTATCATAACTTAGTCACATTTAATAAACGACACATATTTGGAAAGCTTAGACCCTCTTCTTTCATTTGATGCAACTCATGTGATGCATATTTCAAGCATGAGTGATTATAATTAATTTGAAAAGAGGAAACCAAAAAGTCATTTGGCGGACGGTATCTGAATTTCAACGGAAAAAAAAAATCACATTTCTAAAAAGTGAGTTTCTGTCCTTTCATATGACACCTCAATCAGGACAAATGAGCAAGGAACGACAAAGTTCTGTTTGTTTAAAGTAGTGCTTGCATTTCCATAATTTTATCAAACGAATTCGTTTTCACTGGCTGCCTGCAGTAGCAACAAGCAAAATTGACAAAAGACTTCACTCCATTTCGTTGACAATCAGCCGTAGACGAAAAACTTCATGCATGGCTGATTGTTAACGAAACGGAGTTAGGTCTTTTGTTAATTCCGTTTGTTGCTACGGCAGTCAGCAAGTGAAAACGAATTTGTGTCATACTCATAGGAAAGGGCAGATCGATACTCAACTTTCTGGAAATGTGATTTTCTCATTGAAATTCGGATACCGTCCGCCAAATGACTTTTTTGTTTCCTCTCTTCAAGTTGATTTTAATCACTCATGCGTGAAATATGCATACGACTAGTATCAAAATGAAAGACGATGATCTTACCTTTACATATATGTGTCATTTAACAATTATAATTATAATTGTGATTAAGTTAAGATAAAACATCGATAATTCTCGGTTTCGTTTTTTGGGGAACACGTACACTGTATAGAGAAAGGGAGAATTTATATAGACATGTAAACGATGATGATGATGGTAATGATAATGTTAGATGATCATGATAATTGTAATGATATGTATATCTCATTAGTCTAAAGTTAATAGCGCCACCGTGTGGTGAGATATGTCATATAGACAACAACGATGCATGGATGCTACCGTGCGAGTCTCACGTACCGATAAGTATGTATCAAGTAATAAAGTTACATTTGAGCTTAACTAGATGAACATGATTATTACAATAATGTTGATAATATTGATGATTATCATGGGCGTGATCCTGACATTTGATTGAAAAAAGAGGGGACAATTAGAAAGCATATAGTCAGCTACAACATACTCAAACAAAAACAAAAACCAAGCAGAAATAACGGCGATATTGCTCGCAAAAGACAGGAATGTAGAATCCACATTTTAAAAAAAGTCATCTCCCATAGGGATTACACGCAAAGTGGATCAAGTGATAATAGGGTAATGATAAAGTATAACTTATGATAGATTTAAATATTTACTAATAGAGAAAGGGATCGAGAAGTTATATAGACATGTAAACACAATGATGATGATGATGATGATGAACATATGATGGTGATCATGATAGTATATGGTGATGATGATGATGTTGATAATGATGATAATGATATCGTTAATGATGATGATGATAATGATTATGACGATGATGATCATGATCATGGTCAAGATCATGTTGATCATGATGATGTTGATCATGATCATCATCAGACCATGATGATGATAATGATCATCATCATCATCATCATGATCATTATCGTGATCCTGAAAATGAGGGGACATTCAGATAGCGTATAGTCTCAGCTACAACATACTCAAAAATCAACAAAAATCAAGCTGAAATAACGGCGATATTGCTCGCAAAAGACATGAATAGAATCCAGATTTGAGAAAAAGTCATCTCCCATAAGGATTATACACACAAAAAGTAATGGATCAAGTGATAATAGGGTAATGATAAAGTAAATATGGATGTTTATTACATTATTTGCGATTCTACATGTTTTAATATTCAAAGGAGAGAAAGGTCAAAAAGAAAAAAAAGTGAAGAAAAAAAATTGTTGGAGACGCCCGGACTCGAACCAGGGACCTCGAAGTCGGAAGTCAAGTGCGTTACCGATATACCAAGACATTTCCCATAGAGATTACACGTAAACGGCAAATGGAATTGTCAAATCCCACTTTGTAAGTGAAACATGAGCATGATCCCGGTATCTGATTGAAAAATAAAGGATGTACTTGTGATAGCTTATTCTCTCAGCTACAACATACTCAAAGCTCAGCGTAAACAAAGATAACACGACGGAGATATTGCTCGCGAAAGACGAGAAAGTAGAATCCAGTTTTGAGAAAAAGTCATGTCCCTTAGAGAATACACGCAAAATGTGAAAAATTGACATGCCTCCATTAATCGCAAAAATACGCCATGATGCAATTGTCAAACTGAAATATCGTGGTGACTGCATTTGTAGAGAATATTCTCAGGTAGAACATATCAAAATTTGAAAGAAAATTGATCAATATTTACAGAGATAAAATCAATTTTCCAAAAATCTGCTGACGTCATAATATGCAAATTGAAATTTCGTGTTCGGAGGCCATTATGATGACGTCATGAGTTAATTGAGGGTCAAATGAGACATGAAATCATATCTCCGACTCATAATCTATCCAAATATGAAAAAAATGGGGGGGTATCTATCCATTCTGAAGAGTTACAATGAATTTTGTATAGGCATGTTTTTGCGCATGTATGTTATGTATGACAAGAGCTCGCACGCACGGATGCGTATCTTAACGGACGCTCATTCCGTTATTAATGGTCAGAAAAAGGTGAACAAGGTATCAAAATGCTTGAAAAAATGTGCCAAATATGTTGACAGAGAAAATTTGGCGATTCCACGTTGCAAAATGCAAGTACGCGCGAAAACGCGCACGCATGCGCGAGTGCGCGTTTTTTTGCAAAATGCTTAAAATGGCCTAAAACGTATGCAAAATTAATTTGATATGATTTTGAGCATTTTGAAATTTTGCGCGCGGGCTGACGCGCGGACGTACGCATGCGCGCGCGTTTTTTGACCTGAAATTGACCGGACGGATATTGACCTTAATCATGATGAATATGAATGAGAAATGCCTTTCCGTTATGAAGATATGATCATGAGTAAAAAGTACCAAAAAAAACACAAAATGGCGCCTGGATGACGTCATGAAAATTTGATGACCTTGAAAATGTTACTGTCACGTCTCATGACAATGGCCTATGACTGTGCCAAAATTGAAGGAAATTGATTGAACCGATCTTGAGTTATCCTGTGAACAAAAAAGTGTGAAGAAATAAATAAAAATAAAGAATAATAAATAAATAAATAAATAAAGAAAGAAAATTCTGACGAAAACAATAGGTGATCTGTCGTTGACAGACCACCTAATAACTAGAATTTAATTCGTCACGAAGACGAATAAGGTGGTCTGTCTAAGTCTTATGATAGATTTGAGAATGGGAGAAGTTATATAGACATGTAAACAATATTGATCATGATGAACATGGTGATGATCATGATAGTAAAGGTGATGATGATGATGATGATAATGATAATGTTATATGACGATAAAAACGATAATGTTAATGATGATGATGAGCATAAGCATGATCCTGACAACTGATTAAAAAAATGAGGAAATATTTAGATAGCAAATAGTCTCAGCTACAACATACTAAATTTGTGAGAAAACTGTTGAATAACAACCGAGACACTGGTCAAAACACATTGTCATGCAGATTCATGTTTTGAAAAAAATGACCTCCCATAGACAAAACACGCAAGTATGATAAATTATGCATTGTCGCCTTTAATCGAATATTTAACTATGATGACGTCATTAAAATGAAAAATAAATGGCATATTTCTGATAGAGAATTATCTCAGCTACAACATATCAAAATCTGGGAGAAGATCGATGACCGATAAGTGAGATAATCTCAATTAAACAAAGACAAAAATGACGTCATCAACAAAATACATTTTGTTGAGTTTAGATGTCAATATGTTGACTTTGTTACACTTTGTACGAGTCAGGGTGGTATGAAATCATATCTCCAACTCATGCTTTCTCCAACCATGATATAAAAATCGGGGGTCGATGGACTATCTGAAGAGCTATTTCGATTTTTAAAATGGCATGTTTTTGATGAAATTTGCATTATATTGCCCATAGCAGCACGCGCGGAATTTG